GATGCTTCAAATTCACATAACACTGCTTTAACATATGAATGTTCTTCTGTTGTACTTTTTAATTCAGCAACAGCTTTCGCACATTCATTTAAATTCATACTTCTAATAATTCCAACTTCTTTATCCAAAGCTTTTTTTAAGTTTTTAAGACTATTTCTAAATAATTTTGCTTGGGTATATTGCTCAAGGGCATTATTATTAGACCCTTCATTTTGAAGTATAGAAACTTGTTGAGAAGTATTAAGGCTTGAAGGTGATCTTTTGAATGTAGAAGGCACTTCTGCCATCCAAACCTGAAGATGTTTTTGTAGTTTTTTGTTTCAAATTTTCATTTTTGGTTAGTAATGAGTGTGTTTGTCTTAATCATTAAATACCAACTTCTCATAAATCATAAAATAAACTAAATGAATTAAAGACAGTTTAACGTAGGCTTACTACTGAAAATAGTCCATTTGATGGTGCATTATCACAAATAAATGATAGTGCTTGTGATACAAATGATGACCTTGAAGGTAATGAAAGAACACAATAACTTCCTTTTCTCCCATCTAAAACAAAAATGTATGAATCAAATGGAATAATGGCAATACAATGGTATACTTCATGTGTGTTTTCTCGTTCTTCATCTTCTTTTGTACTACACTCTCTTGACATTTGCAAATGAACTTGTTTAAATACTTGGAAACATTGTGCTATTTCTTCCTTCGTTTGTGTCTGTTGTAATGAATGAACAAAACAACCATACACTCCATCATTTTGGTATTTAACAGAAGGAGAATTAATCAAAATATGAATAACTGCCATTAATGGACAAATATTACCTATGGTTTGTTGAATAAAAATAGGGTGATGTTCTGTTTGGTAATTATTTTCATAAAAGTGTATGTTTTGAATTGGATAAGGAAGGCTAACTATAAACCCTTTAGTTTCTTTGTCCAATTGTTCTTCTAAAGAGTAAACATCTTCAAAGTGAATCTCATCAACCCCAATTTCTGAGCAGTATTTTTGAAATATTTCAGCTGTTGTAGTGATTTTATTCCAACACTCTTCAACCATCTTAAAATGAATTTTAAGATGAATTTAACATAACTGATGAATTTTGAAATGATTATTGATTGACAAGTTGATTTAACTCAAAATAAAAAGAGAATGGTTGGTGGTATTTCAAGAGAGGGAATAAAGTATCATTGAATATAGTTTATAACTAAAATTTGATTTGGTCAATGACAGAATTGATGAGGAATGAGGATAATTAGATTATGACTGTTTAACTTAACAATAGATTGATTTGTTAGGAACTATACAATAATACTTGTTTGCAATGAGACTTTAATTAACTTCATAACTACTTATATAACTCATTAACTGATAACCATCCACCAATTAAAGATAATAATTAATTTATACTATCCTTTAATAGTATGCTAATTTGATTTTATAAACATTTCCAAATATTAAAACGTCATAACAATTCTTATTCAATGAAAAAAAACTTGGATATTATATATACGTTTTTTTATTATTCATTAAATTTAATCCATAAACACCTACAGTTAGTGTACTTTGATGAAAGTCGTATAAATTGTGCCGATATGGCTAAATTCTAATTTATTACTGAAACAACCATATCTACCAAACTTGAAATTTGTTAACAGCTAAACATTGTTGAAGAAAATAATAATAGAACAACGTGATAAGAAGCTACGAAACAAAAATTTGTTGGCAATAGAACTGGTTGAGTCAAATGAATGAAATGTTGTTTATGACAAGGTTATAAATAATTGTTTTCATGTTTCATTGAAAAAGTCTGTTTAATTTAAAATAACAACAAGTGTCAAATAAAGAACCACAAAAGAACTAAAAGAGTTTAAGTAAAGACAAATAAGTTTCTGACTAATTCAAAATATATTAGTCTAGTAACAATCTGTGTTTAGGTTAGAACCAATGCAGAATTTAATAATGACAAAGAAAGAAATTTTCGTTTAAACAAGAACCAGTACATAGGAATAACATTAATAAAAGTGGTTACAGTTTATTGACATTAAGAACCACATAACCAAAAGATTAGCAAATAGTAGCATAGTTTTTTATCATTAATGAATCAACAAAATATAAAAATTAATAGAAAACTTGTTAATTGAAGAAGGTATTAACTAAATAGAATATAAGTGAAAAGATGTTGTATAAAGAATATAAAAAGAGAAAAAAGTCTTTATATTAAGTAATTAACTTTATTAATATATCAGAAGGAATCATAAGTTTCACATATCTATAGTGGTGAAGGTTTGGCAAATGCATTTGACAATACTTTCTTTTTATAAATTCGACTAATAAAACATTGACTTTTTTTGGTTATTTACTAATCAACTAATGTTCATAGTAATCATATATCATTTAATTTTTTTTATTTCTTGAAAGGTGATTAGTAAATTGATAGTGTTAACTTAAATAGATTACTGAAACAAAAATTGGGAAATAAATTGAGATATATAGGTGACACAGTAAGAATTAGCCAAATTGAACTTGTTATTAAGAGAATGGTTACAATAAATATAAATCCCTTTGTCCTTTATTTTTCTTTAATAGAAAATAACATAATTTCTAAGATAGAACATATGACTAATTGTCTCGAATAAAATATTTCTGTAAATTATAAAGTAAATGACAAATGTGTTGGTTAATTGTTACTTTCATTTTTATTTCCATATTTTACTTTACAAAAAAAGTTGATATTCTAGAAAATGAACCTTTACATTTTTTTACAGGAAGATGAATTTAAGAAGTAACTATTGGTAAAAGTTTATAATAAGAAAGAATTGATAATGTTATAAAAATTGTTGGTGTTAATAACAAGTCAAGTTTTCTAAGTCTTTGAATATAGTAGTTTTTGTTAATTAATAGACTATAATTGTTTAGGTTTAATTTCTTACCATCAACAAATCCAAACACTCAATTTGTAACAAATATTTTTGATTTTAAATTAAGACACAAATATTCTTGTTTATAAACTGTAAACACAAGGAATTAAATGAAAAGCCATATTTAAAATTGTTGAGTAATAAATGTTCTGAATGTTAAGTAATGTTATTTGCTCATTGAAAGCTCTTTTTACCTTCCTACTTTCATACCAAGATTTTCACTAAACATTAAAATATTTCTTATGTTAATATTATATTGAAATAATATGTTATCAACAATTATTACACTAAATGGAAACAAAATAATTTTTATGAGTTAAAATTCTTTTATGTTATAACTTATTTGTATAATAACCAATTTCATTAATTTGAATATAATATTCTCCTCATTATTATATTAATAATTGGATAAGTATAGCTAATTGTGTTTGTTTTTTATATCTAGTGCTGATAAAAGTTAATGGATGACATAGTATTTACTAGCAAAAAAAAAATAATAAAATCATTATTAATTAGAAGTCATTATTTAACCAAAATTACTTGTAAATTCATTGACTGTTATTAATTATATGTATTAATAGACACATATCCTAATTCTTAAATTTTAGCTGAAGCTTTTTAAACAATTTTATTCATCTTGTTCATATATTAACAAGCATATTGCTGATACTTTAATTAATGGGAAAAATGCTTCTTTCACCTCTTCGTTATTAATTTCAAACCACTTTTTTAAAGACTGATGATATAAAAAGGAGGAGTATGTTCCATCTTCAATACCTCCATCATGTTTTATTGCTGATACCAAATGATAACTAAGTAATGAGCATAATAATACTTTATAAAAAAGTAACAAAAAGACAAACTTGGTTTGTTGTTTTATTGAATCATTAACTACATAATCCGACATATCTAAAGTATCTTCAAACTCAACAACAGTAATATTTTTCTCTCCTTGAAAAGTATTTCTCTCAAACCGTTTAATAACGAATGTTAAATACTTTGGTAATGTTTTTATTAAAAACCTCACACTACGTTTACCAATAAGTGTGTCTGTTTTACCGTCATACTTTTTAAGTATATCTTTAAGTAACAACTGAGGAATTATTTTTTCTTTCATTTGATCTGGATATAAAGGCATTGGAGGAAGGTCTAATGGAATGCAAGTACATTTTTTAATAGATTTCTTTCCATCTTCTTCTATTTGTATTTGTCCTTGAAAACATTGGGTTAGAGGAAGTAATGCATTTATGAAAAACATATAAAATTCTATTACATCTTCTTGTTTTTCTATACTGAAATTTTTTCTTAATCTACTTAGTTCACTCATTAATTCATATGGTGAAATTACTGATTTAATTATTGTTGAATTCCATTGTTTTCTTATTAACATACTAACTCGTTTAATTAACTCTCCACACCTTGCTTTCGATGATATATTTTCTATTTCTTCATAACTAAGTAATAAGTTTCTAATTTCTTTACAATGTCCAATACTTTGAAGTAAACAATTGATAGAGTCAGTCCTTCCTAAGTTATTAAATCCAATATACCCAATAATATATTTCTTATTAAAATGATCTTTTAATTGGATTACTTTATTTTCATCATCAAGATGAGATATATCATTTAAAGTATATACAGGATCTAATGCATTAATAATATCTTTAAACGACGTTTCAATTACTTCATTTCCATGTGGTAAATTAAAAAATTGTTTTGTACTTAAAGAAAGAAAGATATGATGATTCTCTTCTAAACTATGGACATAAGCAGGAGACCCAACATCTCTTCCTTGATAAAACTTTCCACAAATCATACAACAATATAATTGATTTGTCTTTAAGGTTTTACAACATACCTTTTCTTTATCAAAATCAATAAGACTTCTGTCAACAGTTTCTACATATGGACAGTATGTTCTTTTACTTTGACACTCACTAGAGCTTTGAGTTGTTCTTTTCATTTGATTCGATAATTGGGGATTGTTTTTAACTGATAAACAATTAAGATTTTTTTATTATATTCTAATAGTAAAAAAAGATGTTAAAACATAACTTTAAAAAACTATAATTTATTAGTTTTATGGTGAGAAGAAGAGGTAATATCCCAAAAGATGAAGATTATATTAAAGAAAAGAAAGAAGTTGTTCCTATGTCTACTGGAAGGAAAGTCGCATGGTTTATTTTTGCTATTGGAATAGTTCCACTTTTATTCATTGTACCTTCTCTATTAGCCATGATAGGTGATTGGGTTCAAGAACACATGCCTGTGTTTTATGGGTTATGGATTGTTTATGGTATCATATTACTTTACCTTAAGATTTTTGTATTAAAAAATCATAATTGGGATAGTTTTTTATCAATTCTATGTATTGCAGCTATTATCGGAATGGGACTATACAAATTCCTTCGTTTCGAAAAACATTTTCCTAATGGTCTTAAACAATTAGGATTCTACATGTGGCTAGCTGTATGTATGATTCCTACAATTGCATTTTATTTGATTGATACAACAGATTATTATAAGGTACTTGAACATGAACAAAAAATGAAAGAAGAAGAAGATAGAATTGCACAGAAAAGACATGAAAAATATGTAAAACGAAGAGAAAAAAATCCACCATTCTGGATGAAAAGCAAAACCAATAAAATCATTTGTGATACTATTGTCATTGTTGTTTTCATTTTAATTTGTCTTGTTATTGCATATTACTTATTCATATCTTATCAACAATTTAATTATAGAGTAAGAAGAGGTTTAGATGTTAATGACTATGCAAATTATTATGATGATGATTATTTAGGTGAAGATTTTGATCCAAAGAATTTCATTCATGATGAAGACTTTCAATAATAATTCATTATATACTCAAGACTTTATTTTTAATATGTTCGTAAAGACTATTTATTTTGTGCAAATAATTTTTTTCATAATATTATATTTAATAAATACTACCAATTTCTTAGTTGATACAAAAAAACTATTCATTAAGAATAGAAAATACTTTTATTTCTTACATTTTAAATAAAATATTACTTCATTTCAATTACAATTATTTGTTTTGTTTTGAATATTTGTTTTCCACAAAGGGCGTTTGATATTCCATCGTATTCAAACGAATATTGTAAACAAAATGATTTTGTGCTATAATTTTTTTTATGAACACAAATGTCTTTTCCAAAGCCAAATTCAAACAATGGACCATATGATGAACTTTCCATAAAAAATCCATACTTTGGTTCTTTAATATCAAATTTCATCATTTCTTTTAGTCTTCCTTTTGACTCTAATGAAAATACAAATGCGTGTGGATCATTTATCCAAGCATCAATTTTATTAATTTTAGAGTTAATATACCCTCCAAATATATTTCCTTTTAAATCTTCAATAATAATTATTATATGTTCTTTATTAAATAATTTTACATCAAATACTGATGTAAACGTATTCCAGTTATTAACATTTGAATAAAATATTATTTTTCCTACTCTCTTCTCTGTCCATTCTTCTAATTGTTTAATAATTTTAATTGTTTTTCTTTTATCAGTAAATTCTTGAGGTGTTGATGTTGTTGTACCCATAATTTTTATTGTTTTTTTCTTGTTTGTTGTTTTTATTTGCTTTTATTTATTATTTATTATATTAATAAATGATCGAAGGTAGCATGTCTGAAGCAACACACAAACCCTAGTACAATTTCAAGCTTCAATTTTCCTAATTATTATATGATTATGGTAGTGTATTTGAATTAAAAATATATTAATGCTACAAATAGTGCAGCAATTTATTAGTTAGAATATTATTTATTGTAATAATAAGACTTGGTTTTTATTAATAAAGAAATTATAAATATGTATGGAAGTATTATTCAAAGAAAAGGATTTGCTAAGATGTGGTTAACACTAAAAGAAAATTAATCATAATACTATGGTGATAATGAAATGCTCTCTTCTCTCTGTCATAAAATAAAAATAAGGAAATGATATTGTTGAAATTTAAAGCAAAAACCAAAGAAGAAGATAAAAAGAAAAAATAAGCAGAAGAAGTTTGAAAAGACATTAATAGAAAGAAATAAAACAAAGAAGTACTTTGTTTATACTCCTACAAAAACCTAAATGATAGGTTAAACAGAGAGACTACTCTTTTTTTAAACAGCGAAAGGATGGGATTAATCTCCTCTAAGCCAGGCAGAATAGATGAAAAATCTATTAATACTTAATTAACTAATTTTATTATAATTAAATTAACTTTTAAATCTTTTTTTATAAGTAGAATAATAACAAAAATTAAAGATTTAAGTTTTTTATTATAATGAAGGATTGAAATGATAAAATTTGGCAATTCTATTCATTTCATTGTTTTCATGTTTTAATTGAATTTAATTATTTGACAATTACTTGAATTATTAAATAGTTAAACAATAACTAACATTCTGGCATATGTAAAGATTATGTTTTAAAAGAGTTTTATCTACTGACATTTCTTTTTTTTTACTGTTTGAAGGAAGAATTGACAACTATATTCATAATAAGAAAACATCTATTTAAATAGATAATGTATGTCAGTTAAATTATAATTATAAATAAGTTAAAACATCTAGATGATACAATCCAGAATATTGATAATGTTAAAATGAGTCAATGATATATGTTGAATAATTATAAGAAAATGTGTTATTCATGAAAATGTACTATCTAATAATGTAATATATTTAATAGGTATGATAATAGATAATAAAAAGTAATTTTTCATTTTTTTAAAGTTTGTATCAATCAAAAATATTCAATAACTTTATTAATTTATGACTTAATTTTTATTCTTTAATGTCAAAAGTAATAAAAGAAATTATAAATTACATCAAATCACAAAACAATGAATTTAATTTGAACAATATTCATAAAATAATTATTTGTTTTGATGGTAAGTTAAGAAAATGTTCAATATTCTTCAATAAGAATGAAATAATTTTGTTTTTAAGAATAGAACGAGTCAAATATACATTATTCTTGAACTCAAGTTTCTATTTGATTGATAGTGTTTAAAAAAGTCTTTTGTTACTATTTTATAAAAAAACGTAACAAACTCAAGAAGAGAAATGATATAGAAAGTGATAAAAAGAGGTTAGAAAGTCATTGTAATAAAGTAATAAATAATAAACCAAAAACGAAAGAAAAATAGAAAAAAAAAACATATTTAAACATATTGTTCAGAACTGATTAATCATACAATGAAATTTCTTGTTTATGGAGGTAAAGGATGGATTGGAGGCATCATTATTAACATGTTAAAGAAAGATGGACATGAAGTATTTGTAGGTGAAGCTCGACTTGAAGAAAGAGAAAGAGTTTTGAAAGAAATTGAAGACTTTCAACCAGATAGAATTATTAATTGTGCAGGAAAAACAGGAAGACCAAATGTAGATTGGTGTGAAGACCATAAACAAGAAACAATTAGATCTAATGTACTTGGTACAATTAATTTAGTTGACTGTGCATATCTTCACCATATTCATGTAACTAATTTTGCAACAGGGTGTATTTATGAATATGATGAAAAACATCCAATGTATTCAGGAATTGGGTTTGTTGAAGAAGATGAACCAAATTTCAAAGGTAGTTTTTATTCATACACAAAAGGACTTGTAGAAAAGATATTAGTTAATTATCCTAACTTATTAAATTTACGGTTAAGAATGCCAATTTCAGATGATTTAAATCCACGTAGTTTTATTACTAAAATTCTTCATTATGCTAAAGTTGTAAATATTCCCAATTCAATGAGTGTTTTAACTGATCTTCTTCCAACTGCTATTGATATGTCTATCAAACAAACAACTGGACTATTAAACTTTGTTAATCCAGGAGCTATTTCACATAATGAAATTCTTGATTTATACAAACAATATATTGACCCAAAATATACATATGTCAACTTTTCATTAGAAGAACAATCCAAAATATTAAAAGCAGGAAGGTCAAACAATGAACTAAACACTGATAAGTTTTTACAAATGTATCCAAACATTCCCAATATCAAAGACTCTATAATTGGAGTATTTAAAAGAATGAAAGTTAATTTAGATAGAGAAAGAGAAAAGTAAAATCTAATTTTCATTTTTTTATTATAATTTCTGGTGGTTTTCTCTTCCAAACATTCATTTTATATTAATTTTTAATTATTGAATAGTTCATAAAGTTCAATTATGAAATATGATGTAATTGATGTTAAGTATTTTCCAAAAAAAAACAATAACACAAAGAATATTAATTCAAATTCTAATAAAAAGCATAATATCATTTATTAATAATATAAAGAAGTTTAAAAGTGAAATAAAGTACTTTTATATAAATTGTTGTTTTTTGCGAAAAAAAAGAAGAAAAAAAATGCAGTTATAAAAGATATTATTATGGTTTTATTTTTTTGTCGAATAATAAACTTTTTCTCTAGATTTTTTATTAATTTTCTAAATAAATAATATTTCGTACATAAAAACCAATTTTTTTAATTCTTGGAATATCTAAAAATTATTAGTGGTTTTCATCGTCATCATCTAATGTTGACATTTAGTGAACTAAAACGATCACCTGAATTTGTTAATGAAAATCCCATTGAACCATTTCATAGAACAGTTTCAAAACAAAAAAGGTCGTTTGATATAATTATTGATGATTCTTCTAGAACAGAGTTTTATCCTTTAAAAGCACCAGACAGTGAAAAAAGTATTATAAGTCATTCAGACTCAATTGTACAACAAGAATTTAAAATTCCACACCGGGTTAAAGGTTCATCAAAAAACTCATCACTTCCCAGTCATATGAATGAATGTTCTGTTCATAACTTATCTCTTGATTCAGTGTCATCTAGTACTACTAATTCATTAATAAAATCATGTGGTTCAACATCATCTCCTAAAACACTTTCAATATCCAATACAGATTCATTTACTTCAACACTTAAAACAACAGGAGGAACAGAAAGTCCAATATCAGATATAAAACCCACTTCTCGACCAATAAATGAAAAAGATGTTCGTAAAAAAAAGTTAAGAAGGTTTAGTGAAGATTTAGATGGAGAGAAAAGAGTTATTGTTAAAAAAACAAATTCTATTAATCCTATATTTTCTAAAGAGAAAATTAAAGGAATTAAAAGTGCTGATGATATTAAAAGAAAAATGAGAAAGAGTAATAGAAATGTATTTGGAGATAAAAGTTTATTAGTAGAAACTATTTTAGATATGATTAACCAAGAATGTGAAATTGAAGAAATTCGTACCTTTTTCTTTGAAAATGATTTTTGTTTAATTCAAGATGAAGCTAAATGTAATTATAATGATTTTAGAATGGTAGTTTGGGGATTTGATCAAAATATTAGAGAAATATTCAAAAAATTATGTTTTATTGCTTCACAAAAAAAGAATGGAGTTGGAATTTTAATGGAAATGTGTTTTAATCACAAACATTTATTATTACCATATTGTGAATCATTCATTAAAAATGTATTAAATCAATTTAAAATAGTATTTAATCCAAATGGTGATCCATTATATAATGAAAATGGTGAAATAGAAGAAATAAGTAAAGAAAAATTTATTGAAATGATTTTTGACCAACCAAAAGGAAAAAGGTATATTGATTCATTTATTTATTCATTCCCATTGTTCTTAACAAAAAAAGAACTTATTGATTTAATTATTAAACAACATAAAAGACTTAAAGATCTTATTCAGTTTCATCATTTAATGGAAGAAAAAGCTAATTTACTTCAAAAAGTAATTGAACAAACAGTTATTACAATTGTTCGTGTTATTGCTCTTGGTATTAAAGAAAAAAAATTACTTGAATGTTTTAATGATGAAATATATTCATTATCATTTATTAATCAAATCAAATTTCAACTTACAAAACAAACTTCAATTCAATTTCAAACAAAAGATGAATTAATATTATCAAAAGGATTTATTATAACAGGAAATAATCCTAAAACAAAATCAAAGAAAAAATTATTTGATATAACACATCTTGATATTAACAATTATCAAAAATTACCACCAAAAATATTAGCAAAACAACTCATTTTATTTGATTGGAGAATGACAGAAAATATTAATGTTAATAACATCATTAAATTAGATGAAAATGAAAATATTAATGAATGGATTCATCTCGTTAAAAGAATTACTAAAAAACTTATGAAGTTAATTACTAAAAAAAATGAAGTTAAATATATTTTAAAATTACTTGAAGAATTACTTGAACAAAATGATTTTAATTTTTTATTTACTTTTATCAGAGAATTAAGAAGTAAATTTAATGAATATCCTAAATTAGTTAAATTAGATAAAAAATATAAAAAACTTTATGATAAATTAAATTCATTATTTAGTTACGATAATAATTATTATGAATATAAAAGAATGTTTAATGAACTTCCTCAATTCTCTATAAAAATCCCTGTCATTGAAATTTGGAAACATGAAATGAAAATTCAATCAAGTATTACATTGTTCTTCGATAATAAATTAAATATGATCAAAATCATTGAAGTCGCTAAACTAATTCATCAAATAATCTCTCTTAAAATCATTCAATTAGATATTATTCCTATCCCAGAAATTCAATCATTTTTAATATTATAAATTAGTATATTAGCTGTGTATTTTTCTTTATCTTTTTTTATCCTTTAAAATAATTCAATTATCTTAAATTCTTATTCACTATTCCACTAAAACTTCTACATGTCTTTAATGTATCAATCATGGTTTGAACTATAAATCATTTTCTATACTTTTTAATCATTAAAATCAATAAATACAAACTTTCATTATTATGACTATAATTCTTCCATTTATCATGTAATTCTTGTACTTGTATTGTAGATATGGAATGATTTAATTGCTGTATTAAATTATCTCTTACTATCCATTCAATACAATACCATTTTACTATTTGTTCAACCATTTCACATTGATGGTGGTAATGTTGATACACTGATGAATCATTTCCAATTGGTAATTTAAGAATTCGACTCTTTGTGTTATTGACAGCTGTTTCCATAGAGTGATACATCTCTTCAAGACGTTCATTTAATGCATGTAATCCAATAATTTGTTCTTCTTTTTCATTAACTTCATTACTATCATTAAATCGCTGTACCCCTTCATTAATCATTTGACATAACACACCCCACCCTTTAATTTGTTTTTCAATCAAATCAACTGTTTTATTAATAATGGTTTGTTGTTCAGTGACTTTGCTCATTTCTTTTGTTTTCTTTTTTGTTTTAATTTATTAAAATTTATAATTAAAAATTATAACAAGGGTTGTTTTTTATTAATTCAATGCAATCAATTTTGTTCTTTTTTAATTCACTTAAAATGTTAAATTTTTTCTTTCTGGTTTATTTTCTTGTTGTTCTTCTTTGTCTTTTTGTTTCTTTTCATGTTTTTTATATTGTTTTGCTTTTTCTTTTTTAGCTTCTTTCTTCCTTAACTTCTCTAGACGTTCTTCTTGTTCTTTCTTTTCTTGCTTTTCTCGTTTCTCTTTCTTTTTAGCTTCTTCTCTTTCAGCTCGTTCTTTCTTGATTTCTTCTTGTCGTTCTATCTTCTTAATAAGGTATTTTGGAAGAATAGGCTTCTTTTCTTCTTCACGTTCTTTCTTAGTTTTTTTATGTTGTTTAACTAAGACTTTCTTTGGTTTCTCCTCTTTTGTTTTTTTTGATTGACGTGGTTTCTTTTCGGTTGGTGTTGTCTCTTCTGGATTTGTAGTTTCTAAGACTTGTTCAGTCTCTGCTGTTGTGTTGGTTTCTTCGCTCATTCTCTCGTATTTTCAGTCTTTTTGTTTTTCATTTTTCTTGTTTTTTTAAGAACTTCATTTCTCCAAAACGAAAAGCCATACTGCTGATATGCTCATCTTCTTTGACGAGATGAAACTAAGACACATTTAATCTCCGTTTTAGAAAAGAAAAACAAAACAGATGAAATTAGCTGTTTTAACAGTTACTATATTCATGACTTTAAGTTATGGTTTAAATATCACATTTAGTCAACGAACCAATTGTGATGGTCTTGAAAGTGGGTTTTATTGTGTTGACTCAACAACATATTATTGGTGTTATGGACAATCCAGATTTAAGCAAGCAACGTGTCCTAATGGTTTAGAATGCAAATGTGGTAAAACAATTTACAACCCATGCATGTGGCCGTTTCAAGGAAACACACCAGATTGTGATGGAAAACCAGGAAAGTATTTCAGTGGTACAACACCAGAAGAACCATCAGAAAGCTCAACAGTTAATCCTCCAGAAGATTCATCTTCAATTCCACCATCACCTGACTCATCTTCTACTCCTGTAAGTTCAAGTTCACATACTCCAGAACCATCAGAGTCATCTAGTCAACAAAAATCAGAGTCATCTACATCCCAATCATCTAACAATTCAGGAGATGATGACTATAATCCTGACTGGCCAGATGTTGAAAAAGGAGTATATTCCATGGCACCAAATACTCATCTTCCATTAGTACTAAAATTTGACAAAAACAAATGGAAAGAACAAATCAAAGAAGTTGTTTCAAATTCAAATTATAACAATGAAGCATTATATCAACCAGCAACATCAGACTATGCCTGTGCTCTTCACCCACCATCAAAATATGATAATAATCCAACACAAATATGGATTGGAAGACCAAGTCAATCAGTAACAATTTCATATACTCCAGGAGTAGCAATCCGATTACCAGACAAATATTATGGAATGTTTTTGGGATATGCCATGGATGCTTATGGATTAAATCCAGGAATGCTTATTGGACTTGGTGCAAAAGAATCATTTAGTTTTGCACGATATCAAGCAACTGATGATGGAAGTTATTTCATTGTTGCCAATGAAAATGAACACTATGACTGCTACTCATCATCACAAAGAGGACTTTGTCGTGATGGAAATTTAGATGGTCCATTCCAAGTTGAAACAGGAGGAATGTCAACTGATGTTGCAATATTACCAAATAGATTCTGGATTGGTGAATCAACTACACCAAAGTCTGAAAGAAAGATTAAATACATGTTTGATAATGAGGTTTTAACATATGCAGGATTTAGAGCATATCATGATTATTTCACATTAAATTATGGAAGGGCATTTGTATTAACTTCTTTAGATTTCCATTTCAGGCATAATTTAGTAATGAACATGAAGAAGGTTGGATTAAGAGACGCATTGTCTAAACGAACCAAACGAGAACAACGAGACTCTCTTGAATTTGCTACTGCTATGTATACATACAATAGAGGTGTTTTTGATACTCAACTAATCCAAATGCTAAATGGATGTAATGCAGATATGGATCCATGCACGGATTGTAAATTAGATGGATATGGAGGACATACCACTGACATTAGAATTGTTTGTAAAGCTGTTGATTCAGTTCCAAATAAAGAGGTGTATGATTATAATTTGAGTAAAGAAGATGTTGAATATTTCATTAGTACAATTCAATCAACATATCCATTTAATAACGTAGATTGGAAAACACTTAGAAGTGATGTTGACACTGCCTATGATTATCTAAAATCCCAAAGAAATAGTAATGCAATTTCTTTCAGATATGATTGGAGAACATTACTTGCCGTAATAAGAATGCATCTTCCACCTATTGAATATTTTGTTGGTGACCAAGTCAAAACATTCCAAGATTATTGGGGAGGTGTATTGAATGATGACCTAGGTCCATACCAATCAGTTTCTAATTTCCCATTTAAATTCTGTTCTACTTCTGGAGGAAGATCTAATTTATGTTCTTCTAAGTCACACAAACAAGTTCATTATTCAAAATAATTCACTATTGTTTATAATGTCTTTTTAATGTATTTTTAAAGAAACTCATAGAAAATTTTATTTAAAAATCAATCAATTATCCGTACTTTCCATTTTTAATAATTCTTGTTCAAATATATCGTCTTCATTGGTATGTTTTTCTTTAAGTTCCTCTTGTCTTTTTTGTTTAATTTCTTTCTTTATTTCTTTTTGAATATCTTTTGAAGAGAAATCTTCACTTGAATCGTCTTCTTCCATTTTAGTAGTAGGGCTATCGCCATTAATATCCTCCTCTTCTTTTTTCATTTCTTCTTCTCCTTGTTCTTTTTCTTCCTTGGTTTCTTCTGTTAATTGTTTTTTCGTTGAAGATTTGTCTTTCTTTTCTTTCTTTGTTTTTGGTTGTTTTTCTTTATTTAAAACATCATCAAGTCTCATAACAGTAATTTGTTTTCCATCAACAGTCGTATTAGCCAATTCTAATGCTTTTTCAACTGAAGCAAGTGAAGCAAATTCAACAACAGCAAAACCTCTTCTTTTATTTGTGTTTCTCCAAATTGGAATAGTAACCCGTAATACTTTACCACATTTTGCAAAAATTTTAACTAATGTACTTTCAGTAGTAATAGAAGAAACCTTACCGACAAAAATACAATACGAATTATTCATTTTCTTTTGAGTTGTTTTTGGCAAATGTTTATAATTTACTGTGTGTTAAGTTAAAATGTATTTTCTTGTTTAACAACTAAACAAACATTTCATTGGTTTTTTCTCTGCCATATTAACACGGATATATTGTTTATCAATAATTGACCCATCTCTAGAACATGCTCGTTCAGCTCCTTTTTTGTCTTCGAACTCAATGAAACAACACCCTTTTGATTGACCATTTGGATAATATTGCATCATCATACGAGATATTCTCCCACAGGTAATAAACTTTTCTCTAATTTCATTTTCCTTCATAGACTTAGGTAATTTACCAATAAACACCGATGTTTCTGGGTTATAGGGTTTTTGGCGTTCGTTATTAGTCATTGATTAGCTTTTTTCAGATTTTTGTTATTTTTGATTAAACACATCTTTTATTTATTAAATTAAAAAAACAAAATCAATGTAATATTCCAGAGAGTGAAGGCTGAAAGGATTGTGTTAAGTCAATAATTTTTTCTTCGGAGTTAAATGTTTCTATCTGACGATTCCGCCTTCTATCCATTATTTCAGATTCTAATCGATGTGATCGTGCTAATTGTTCTACTCCATTTTGTGAAGTTTGAGCAGAATAATATCGTTTAAAATCATAGTCATTTAATAAAGCACACTCTTTAATTTGTCTTTCATTTGATGGGATTGTTGAAAATTCCATAGTAAGAGGATAAAAAGGATGTTGTTCTACATTGGTTATTGGAGCAAATGAGCTATATGGTATAGAGTCAAATACATTAGACTGATGTTGTTCAAACATTCTATCTTGTTCTTTAAGAAGTATTGGTTCTCTAGTTGGGAGAGAAGGTGCCATTCTATTAATAATAGGTTGGTTCCATACATGAATTGGAATTTCACGAAAATCTGACTGATGTGGGGAATTGTTTAATTGATGAGAAGTTATTTGGTTGTTTTGGTCTTTTTGATTTTCTTCATCCTTTTTTTCTAGATGGCGTTGTTCAATTCCCTTACTTACAATATCATAGTCCATTCTAATTAAACACACTTTTCTTTCTCTTTTAGGACCAGTCAGTGGTTGTTCAAATTGTTCTTCAATAGTTGTCTCATTTTCGTATTTATCTTTAATGCTTTTTCCATTATTTCGTTTTATTTCAAACATATTAACAAGGCTTTGTGAATTTTGTTTTAATAGTTCATCAATTGCTTTCTTATAATCTGTATGCTCCTGACATATCCTCTGAGTTAAAGTAACATAAGACATTGAGTCATAGTCAAGAGATGGATATATATTCTTAAAAAATGAAGTAATTATATTGCATTTATTGGTTGGAAGTTCATCAACACATATTTGATCTACAACATTGAACCATTCTGGTCTTTTGTTAATGTCTTCAGTTGATTCAATAACTGCATATTTTGGAACAGAAAGAGGAAGAAAAAGAACTTTTCTCTCAAATGAATTCTTCCCTCCATCATTAAGAGACTGAAGATATTCTTTTACTTTCGAGTGGTCTCCAATCTTTGGATATTTAATCATTACTTTTGTATTTGTCATTTTTAATACATTAAATGGGAATAAAACACAATATTCAAATTCAGCCCACTTCACTTCATCTCTACATTTAAACACATGGCCTAAGTACGATTTAATATTTTCATAATGAGTATCATCTTTGCATTGTTGTATGACATAATCAATATATTCTAAAATATCGGCAGTTACAGCTGGATCTGACATTCAACGAGAACCTTTATTTATTTTTGTTTTTTTATTTTAGGTAAATATCCATTTTTATACTTATAGTAAAAAAACCTAAGTTTTTAATTATTCTTTTTTCACATCAAAATCATATTTTTGGAGCAAAAAAGGTTTTTCTTCAATTTTTTTGGAGTTTTAATAAAAGAAATGTTGTTTTGACGAATAACATTTTTTAACCTTTTTCATTGAAATACTTGACGATAACATTTAACTTTGCTTTCCTCATTTTTAGTGTTACCTCTATTTTTGATTTTTGGTTTCATCTTTATAGAATTTCTTCCTTCTTTTTAAAATTACGTAAAACATTATCTTTTTTTTCATTTTGTTAATAATGACATTTGGACGTCGTTCTTCTATGGTCAAACACACAAGTATATCTAAAATCGGCAAAGAGAATGCAAGGTGGTCTGCCAAATCTCCTAGAAGAAAAAGTATAACTCAAGAAATGTATAATGAAGAAATTCCTGAAGATGTATTAAATTTATTTAAAAGTTCAGTAGGTGCTGAAGAGTTAATTAATGCTGCTAAAATAGCTGGTGTTCGTTTTTTTTGTGATGAAAAACTCTTTGATGTGATAGAAAAAGAGTATATTAAGAATGCAGTCTGGAAAATGGAAAAAACACATAGAGATTTATTTAAAGTAGTAGTAACAGAATTATTTCAAGTTCATAGACGTTCACAACTATATAAAGTATTATTTCCATCATCAATCAAAACTCCATTAAATACAAGAAAATTTCTTCATACATTATTTGAAAATGTTACATTTATTTTTAACAATGAATCAGGTGAGATTAAGTTTACTGAAAATGGAAATTTAATTTCTATTTCTCCTTTTTGGCATTGGAACTTTGCATTAGATTTACATGAAGTTAGTATTTCTAGATTTATTATAGAATGTATTTCTTATATGACAGTTGATGATTTTTTAAATAAGTTAATTGATGTGTGTAAAGACTTAAATGAAAATATGTATATGCCTGAAACACAAAGAAAAACAAGAGTATTAAGACTTCAAAGTATTATTGTTTCTTGGATAAATTTAATGAAAGAAGAAATAATTCCTAATAATTCTGTTGTTGAAAAATTACTTAATTCATGTTTATTTAAAACCGATGTTATTAGTGAAAATATTCTAAAGAATATTAAAAAAGAAATCCAACCAACATCTGTCATAGATCCAATTTGCTTTCAACCACAACCAATTAAAAAATTTAATTGTAGACTTAAAATAGATAAGATTTATTGTGGAAAAGGAATTAAAAAAGTTCGAATTTATAAAGTTAAAAGTGATGTTGTTGCAAAACAAATTATAATGTTCAATCAAAGACTATGGAACACAGTCCATTTTTCTGAATTTTTTTATTCTAAAAATACTCCAACACTTGACAATTATGTCAACAAAATTCAATTTATCGAAAAGCTAACAAAAGCATCTTTAGAATATGATCCTTCTTCTAAAATGTTAAATTTTTATATTAAAGTTTCTTATCACTGTATGATTTTAGGTGATTTCAATTCAAGTTGTCTGATTTATTCTGTTCTTTCAATATTCTGTTCAGATATTAGAAATAAGAAAATATTTAACGTTTGCTACTTTTTTCTATTTAATATTCGACTTTTTTAATTCATATTATTCATCTAAATAGGAGTTAAAAAGTGAAACTAAAAAAAAATACCGTTCTTTAGAAAACGTTTATTCTATTAGCATGCAACATGCTAACTACCGCAATGCATATGCTGACCACCATGATCCAAAAATTCCTGTTCTTGCTTTATTACTTGGAGAAAATATCAGAAGTGACATGATGGAAACATATATTCAATCAAATCAATTAAATGTGTTAAAAATTAGAAAAGTGTCTGATGTTGTTGACATGTTATATAATGCCAAAGAAATAAGTTTTGTATTTTCAGAAATTCCAGAAGTTATGCAATATTTCCAGAACCTCATTGCTTTCTTCAAATGATTTCTTTTTAATGTTTAAAAGAGTTATATTATACAAAAATATCTTTGAAACCTATTCTGAAACATTTGTATTTTATAAAATAACAATAGAGAAATTCTAAGAACTTGTAATTCAAAAGAAATAAAATATGAATGTATTAAAGAAAGATAAAAAAGAGAATGATAAGAAAAAAGATGATAAAAAGAAAGACAAAAAGAAGAGTAAAACATTTCGCTTAATTCAAGAACGTGATATGACACCAGGAATTCAAGTATTAAAGACACCTCTTTCTGAAAAAGACGTTTTATATACTATTAAAATTGTCTTTGTTGGAGATCCATGTACATTAGATGATAGAAAAAAATTGTTATGGGGATATTATCATAACCACCAAAGCCAAGTTGTTAAAGAACTTGGAACAACTATGAAAGATGTTAGAATTGATGGGTTTGATGGAAGAATTAGTATGACATTATATGACAATAATATTAATCGAGCCACTTCATATTTTCCATTTAGTGGAGCACATGGAATATTCTTAGTATATAGAAATGATGATGATATGTCATTTAGACATGTATATAATTGGTTATCAGAAGCAAGAAGATTTTGTAATAAAGAAAATGTTTTTGCATATGTAATTGGTATATTTCCAAATGAAGAAAGTATTAACCAAATGTCACAAGAAAGAAAGGCAATTCTTCATTTAATGAAAATGAAAACATTTAATTATTGTCCAGGAAAAGAAAAATTATTTGATGAGTTTATTAATGAAATGGTTTGTTCAATAAGAAAAATTAACTTTAGAGATGATATTCTTGAAGTTCAATGGGAAAAAAGATTATTTGAATCAGGACAATACAAAAAACCAAAAAAAGGATTTATTCCTATTCAAAGTGAATTAGAAAGTAGTCAAAGAAAACAAATGGAAAAAGATCCATATCGTAGACTTATAAATCAAGAAATTGATAGAGGACTTACTTATACAATTAGACTTATTTTTTGTGGAGATGAAATTATACAAACACAAGCCAGAAGACTTGCAGTTGGATTATTAAATGGATTTGATCAACCAATTAAAAGTATTGATAATTTAGATAATCTTGCTACAACATATAGAGAAATTGATAATAAATTTTTAAAGGTTAGAGCAGTTGGATATGACCTTAATTATAAACGTGGATTACAATATTCACCTTTTGTTAATGCTTTAGGATCAGTTATATTTTTTGATTATACTAATGAAGATTCATTTAAACATTTACCAATTTGGGTAAAAGAAAGTTACAAAGGAAATCTAAGTGAAATGTTACTATTCATTTGTGGATTAAATAAAACGTCAAATAAAAGAAAAATATCAGAAACGGAAGTTATAAAATATCTAGATAGTTTTCCTCCTCAAAGAAAACCAGTACATTGTGACTTTGAAGAAAAGGATATCAAAGAATTTGTACAAACATTTAAGAATTACGTTAATACTATCAGAAGAAAGGTATTTAAGAAAGGTTATCTTACAATGGTAGAAAGAGAAATGGTTGCTAAAGAACGACTAGGAACAATTGAAAGTTCAGAAATGATGGAAAGCTCTAAATTAACACCAAAAAACTTTAAAGAAGATGAAAAGGATGAAGGGTGTAACATTCAATAATCCAATAATTTTGAAAACAAATTATTTACTAGTTATAAAAGAATGATAAATAAAAGAGAAAAGAAGAAGATAGAATTAAATATGAAATAAAGAAAAATTCAAATGAATTTGAAAAAGATAATTTTTAGATCATAATTTGAACTTATAAAGTTAATTCAATCGGAAAATAAATATCATGAGAATAGGATATTTACTTTTATTTATATTATTAGTTTATGGAAAATTACCAAATAAATGGGCATACAATTATCCAACAAATAGATATTATCAATTAGATAAAGGAACATGTTGGGCATTTGGTATTATTGGAATGTTAGAACATTCATATCGTGAAAATGGAATTAAGAAAGGGTTTTTAAAAGAAGATGAATTTGTTAGATTAAATGTTCAATCATTTGGAATATTAATGGTAGATGCATGTAAAAAATATCCAAGTGTTTGTAATACACCAGGTGATGACGTTATTTTTGGTTCAACTGAAGGAGGAGAAATTAATTGGTTTTATTCATTCCCATTTTTATATGATAAAATACTTCCATCAGCTGTTTGTCCTTATACTGCAACTGTTGATACTCAATTTGAATGTAATGGAATGGATGAAGCATTAAAAACTAATCCAATTAAATTTAATATTACTGAAATGTTAACTACATATAATGAAGAACAAACTAAAGAATTATTATTAAAAGTTAAAATTCCAATTGGTTTTGGTGCATTAATTCATGACGCTAAATATTATCTTCCATGTACTGAAGAATATAAAAATTTCTGTGATGAAAGTGTTTATAATGTTATTGAATGTCCAGAAAATATGAAATATTTAGCTGAAAAATGTGCATATATAGTTATGCCAATGTATAGCACTGATGGAGAATTTAATTATCATAATGAAATTGAACCAGAAGGTGGACATGCTATGGTTACAATTGGATATAATGATGAATATGTCACTCATGAAGGATGTAAAGGTGGATTTATTTTAAAAAATTCATGGAATGATACTGTTTATGGACCATCTATTGCTAATACTGCAAGAGGAGTAAGAGGATCTCATAGTGTTAAATATTTCATGAACCAATTAACTGCTGAAGAAGAACGTAAAGTTTGTCCAAATGCACAAGACCCAATGAATTGGTATGTTTGTGATGATGCGTGTGTTACAAATGAAGAACTTCATAAAACCATTGTTAATGAATTATACCAAGCATATAAATTACAATGTGTTAATCCAGAAGAACATTTTTGTGAGACTGGATATGACTATTATTTAACTGAATTAAAAGCTGACTCTAAAAGTCCTATGAATCATTATTACATTGCTACATTTACCAAATATGACTCTACTGGAAAGAAAGTTGATACTATTACTTTACCATCATTACCTACTTCAATTATTGGTATGATCTTTACTCCAGTTGAAGAACAATTGATTAAACTTCATGATAGTGAAGAATTTTGTGGACATTACATGTTCCCATATTGTATCCTCAATAAACATTTACCATTCTGGGGAGGGTATGTTGGAAGTCATTTTGAAATTGAATGGGATGACAGAAGTTATTTAATTAATAAAGATAAATATCCTGAATTCGATTATAAATTTATTGAAGAATCTACATTCCACCAAAACTTAAATTTAGTCGACCAAAAGGCTGGTGTTCCATTCTTGAATGAAAGAATTTAACTCAATTTTATTATAATCTCTTTATGGTTTTTTTTTTATTAACAAGTTATTTTATATAAAGAATATTTAGCAATCAAAAAGATTTAAATTATTTCTTAACTCTGAATTTGCATTGTTGAGTAAGTTTTAATTTACCACCAGTTGGTTGTCCAAGTGGTTGTCCACATTTTTGACATAAAATTTGTCTATGGGCATGTGAGAAAGTAGTAGTAGTAGCACTACATTTTGGACATTTAATTTCAAGGAAGTAACTATTTGGAGTTGGGACTAATCTCTTCATTTTGTGTGCCTTAGCTTCAGAGGCAGCAGTTGGATTCAAAAGGTCAACTTCGATCAAAGGCTATAAAGTGATAAGTCAACTTTTTCTAAGAATAACCCTTATTAAATATAAATGTATTAGCAATAAAAATCACAAGTACAACATAAATTAATGCTGAAAGACAAACCATAACTTCGATTAACCAGGATCTTAGTTTTAGTGAAAGGGTTTTTCTTTTAGTTATTTTTGTTAATTTGTTAATGGTTTTATATTTTTCTTTATTTTACTTATTTTTTTTTTTGTTATTTCAACTAGAACTTTAAAATAAAAGTTTGATGTAACATGATTTATTATAAAGAAAATAAATGAAACTATAAGTAACTATAGTTAAAAGAGTAAAAAAATATAAAAAGTAAATAATAAAACAAAAAATAGTAAAAAAAACTATGGATGAAGATAAAGATTTTTTTCTCTTTTCAAGAAAGAATTTGATCAAAACCTGATAGAATAGGAAAAATGAAGACTATGAAATTAGGGAGTGGAACTGTAAAAAAGAAGAGAAACTTAACTTAAAGAGAGATGGAAAAAAAGATAGACGAAAAGAAAGTAAAATCACAACTACGACTTGTTGTCCCATGGAAGCGACAACTAGGATTGAAAGTGGATCAAACAAAAATGAGTTGTTTAAATAAAGTTGGGAGTTGTAAAGAGGGGCTTTCAAATAAGAAAGTATTAAGAATTGGAATGAGACCATTAAAGACTATTCCATTAAAGTCATTGAGCCCTGTTGAAAGAAAAAAGAAAGCAGCAAAGAAGAGGAAAGTTAAACTTCAAATGGCTCAAGGTAATAACAATGGAAATCATTTTAATAATGAAAATAAAATTTTACTTCCAAAATTACAAGATTCAAACAAAGTTGATAGTCAAATAGAGCATCCTGTTGCTTTAAAACCAATCAATAATAATAAAGATAACACTATTCTTCCATCTTTTTCTTTAAGAACTGAACATTTAAAAGAGGAAAAACCAAATATTCCAATTGACTTACCACAACTCAAAGAAGTTAATAAAACTAAAGAAATAGTTGAATTAAAAAAAGATAATACAAAAGATAAATTAAACCAATGTTTTGTTAATAAAAGTCATTTAATAGAATTACCGTTACAACATTTACCACCACCAATTATTAAAACAAAGAAAGAGTTATTTGAACCAAAAGAAATCAAAAAAGATATATTAAAAAAGAAAGAAGGAATTTCTATAAAGAAGAAAAAAGAAAAAAAATTAGTTACTCCTAAGAAAAGAGGGAGAAAACCAAAACCAAAGTATAGTCTTTCTAATGAAAAGAAAGACCGTGTTAAACAAACAATGTCATTTATTCTTAAATCAATAAATAGAGAAAATAAAAAAAGAAGTAATAAAAATAATGAAGAGAAGAAACCAAAAAGAGAAGAAGAGAAAATACTTAAGAAGAAAGGTAAGTTTAATAATAATATTATTGGAATAGAGAAAGTTAAAGAAATGGTTAAAGAATGTACTTTGTAATTATTTACTTTTAAAAATGAATATTTCATGATATAAAAAATCAATAATTGTTTTATTTGTTTCTTATAGAAATAAAGGATCTAAATTAGTTCAACAGAAATAAGTTAACCTTCATTTTGATTCAAATTGAATGTTATTATATTTTTATTCCACTCCTAAATAACATTACAGCTTTATAATTTGATATAAAATAAATAAAATTACCTTCTATGTGAGTTACAAACGCACTAAATTGATTTCCTACAATACAATGCCATGTTGGACCATAAAATGAATCAAAAGATGTTTTCATAAATTCTGCTATTGATTGATCAGTTGAATTAAGTTGATATGCATCAAAGAACATAGAAAGAGCTTTCATTTTCATTGTTTCATTCATATCAATAGCTTTAATAACAACATGTTGCATGGAAAAAAAAAGGTTAATTTATTAATTAAGAGTTTTAAATGAAGAAGTAAAAAAAACCAGAGTTTTTAAAGTACTTTTTAATAAAATTGAATGACTAATAAACGGGTGATTTTGGAATATGTATTACACCCAGGCTTACTTTGATTTATTCCAGTTAGTTCTAAATGAGTTGGAGCATTTATATATGCTTCATTTAGTTTAAAGAATGTATAAGCTGACTCTCCTTCATTTAATTGGGGTTTCCAAAATCCAAAAGCATGAGCTACGCAGAAAATATAATCATTTAATGGATTAGAATTAGTTGGTAGTATTTCCAGAGTATCCATAATTTTAATTTGGTTTAAAACTCTTTGGGGAGTTGGAACTTTCATCCATTTTGTTGGTGGGATTGAATCACTTAGTAATGAGAAAATAAAATGATAAGGATCAACACAATAATTATGCTTTGTTGTATACCCTTCTTGAGATGGATTTTGAGCATGTTTTATTGTTAATTTTTGATAACATCCATAAATATGGTTATAGTTATTAATTATAACTATAGCAATATCTTTTCTTCCTTCAATACTTTTTACAAAACTTAATCGAGTCATTTCCATAATATCAGAGTCAAAAATAATTTCATAATTATCAAGACCAACAAATTGTTTTAATTTATTAATTTGAGTATTAATGAATGTCATTGTTAAATTTGTTGAATAAGAAGTTTTAAGACTTTTTATAAGATTTTATGATAAGGTGAAAAAAAAAAGAACGAAGATTATATTTTCAGAAACAGAATAAATTATATTATTATAAACAACTCAATACCAAAAATCTTGAGCACTCAGCTTTACTTTGTAATGACTCTCCTTTAAATGGATTTACAAAGCCTTGATCAAAGTTATAAAGATTTTTTGCACAAAAATTGAAAGATATCATTCCGTTTGTATCCATCCAGAAAGCAGAATAACAGTTGATTAAAGTTGGATTTTCTTCTGTGAATAAAGAAACACTTTTCTTTTCTTGAGTTTTTCTTTCAAAGATTTTAGATTCATTAATTTTGTTTTCAATAGCAAAAATGAAAAAATCATTTGATTCTGCATGAATAGGATTTTTTGAAGAGGATGGAATAATGGCATCACTTTGGTAAAACCCAATGAAACCATTTTCTGTTTTAAAAACAAAGATCAATTTTTCTTTGTAAACAATTCTTGAACGTAATTCTCTTGGATCAAATCCATGTTGTTTAGAGTCATAAAGAATGTGAAAAGATTCTCTTCCAAGTTTAAACAGAAGGAAATTAAGTGTACCATTTATTGGTTCTTCTTCTTCTATAATTTTTGTTTCTTCTCTAATTTCATTGTGCCTTCTAGCACTTCTTGGTGTTGCAAATGATTTTAATCTTTTTATTGGACTAGAGGCAACACGAACAAGTTTATCACCAAAAGATACTCTAGGTTTAATATCCATAGGTTTAGAAGAAGTAATTTCTTCTGGTATTTCAAGTGTACTATCTTCATCACTTGATTCTGCTTTATAAAAGGAAGAAGAATATTTATTTAGTTCATAAGAAGATTGTATCCTAACAAAGGGTGAATTAAATAATCTTTCTGGATTACTATCAAGTGATCCAGTGAGTGGTCTTTTAACTGAGCTATGAGAAGTATTATTTCCCATAATAAGTCATTTGTTTTTATTTAATCTGACTTTAAATAGTACTAGTGTAAATGTAGTTAGTGTACATAATAAACTATATTTAGTAGTTTTCAAGTATTTGTTTTTTGAATTTTTATCTAAATATTTTTACTGCCCAACGGTAGAAGTTGAATTAATGACTGAAAAAACCACTTTTACTTGAGTTATTTATAAAAATTTCTTGTTTATCTTTTGATTACTTTTTCCTTCTTATAAGTACAAAAAATGGTGTTCTATTAAAATGTTTTGTTTGGTATTAATTATAGAATGATTGACAACCTAAAAATGAGAACTGACAGCAACCCCTTATATCTTTCAGATTAACATATCTGCGTTATACTTTTTTGCTTGGCGTTTACAGTATTAAAAGTAATTTCAAAAAATAAAAAATCTTTTTTATTCTTTATGGAGGAAATAGAACAAATCTTTACTTAAAGTTCTTCAAATATTTAAAAACATTAAAAAATAAATTGACCCCACAACTACCAGAAAATTAAATTGAGATTGTGTAAATTAACAACTTTTTTTGTTTTTTTTAAAAAAAAAAACAAAAAATGAGTTGAAAACGTCAAAAATAACAAAATAATTCTTATCGTCAAAAAAGAAAAAAAAAAAAATAATTATTATAAAAGTTATCAGTCATAACTTAAAATACTTAATGGAACGAAAACAAAAACAGATAGTCAGATCTAAAACGTATCTTAATTTAAATAAGGCAATCACAAAAACAAATGAAGTATCTCAAAATCCTGTTGATTATAGGGAAAAAATACCACAACTCTCAAGAATAAAAAAGAATAATTTAAATGGTTATAGAAGAAAGTCAATCGGAGAAACCTATTCAAATAATAGAATTTCTGATTCTATTCAAGAATTTCATAGACCAAAACATTTTACACCAATCTCAATTACAAAAATCGATCATTCTCTTTGAATAAATTTATGTTATTTATAAGTAATTTTGTGTTATTAATTTTTTCATATCTTATAATTAATGAATCTTAAAAAGTCTTTTTCTTATGAATAAATAAGAATACCATCTTTCATTTTGGTAAGAAACTAAACATTAAAAAATGCAATGCAAAGTGCAAATAAAAATTATATAAAAAGGTATAGTTGAGGTGTTTTTAATAAAAAGTCTTATTTTTTATATATTTAATGATAAGTACATTTGTTAAAAAAGTAATAACTCAAATTATAAAGAAAATTATGTTGATAAAATATGTTAATAATAAAATTCTTGTTAATGAGACTAGAAAAAGTCAAATAGTCCTCATGGCATGGAGTAGGACAAATTTAAAAGAAAACAAAAAACCGAATTAACATTCCTAAATAAATGAAAGAACTTTTGGCTTAAAAATAATCAGGGTTTTATTATCATCTTTTTAAGATTATTTTTTTTCAATACACGTTAAATTTACGTATAATTCATAAAAAATAAATAAGATATTACTTTTTCATATTTTCATTGTTTCAGTTTGATGAGGAAATTGAAGGTTTCTATTTTTTTCAAGACAAATTGTAACCACATGGTAAAAAATAAAAAAAAAATTTAATAATATGGTATATCAAATTTAATATTGTCACAGAAACTGTTTTAGTTGAAAAGGTCATTGCAGCAGAATTTACAAAAATAAACAATGAAAATCATCAGATGATCACACAAAATGCTTTGGAGTAGAACTAAAAGTGTAATAAACAAAACTATATATAATAATAAAAATGAGCCACAAAAAAGAAATTTCTAAAAAGGGAAGATTAAAAACAAAAAAGTGAGTGTCTGAAAGTGTCTGATAAGAAGAGAGATGGATCTTTCAAGAAGAATAGACAATGATAAATATATAAAGGAACAAAAAAAGATATTTACCAGATTCATTTAACTCTACCTCATGGAAAATAACGACAATTATCAATTATCAACTTGGAATTCATTATGGAGATATATTGGTATTGAAAAACATGCTACTTATGGTTTTTATTGGATGCTTGGTGCTGCTAAAGTCAGTGATTATAAAGATTGGTGTCTTTATTGGTTAGGTCTTAATGATCAAAAACCTCCAATTATTGGTGAAAGTCCAGAAGATTTTTATGTTAGAAAGATTTATTCTACTTCATACGATTGTTTTAATAGACCTATTTGTGGTCCTCCTGAAAATCACATTATTATTGGTTTACGAGAAGAAGTACCTATTGAAAATGCAAAACACCTTGTATTAAAAGAGGGAAAAGTTAGAGAGGCTATTAATTTTGGTTCATATAATTATCTTGGATTTGGTGGTAGACATCCAATTGTTACAAAAGAAGTTGCTGATTGTTTAAAAAATAAAGGAAGTAGTTGTAATGGATTTGCTGCTGAAAGAGGTATTTCTGAAGAACAGAAAAAATTAGAAGGTATGTTGGCTGAATTTTTACATAAGGAAGCTGCTGTTGTTGTACCAATGGGATTTGCTACTAATTCTACATTAATTCCTATTTTAGTAGGAAAAGGAGATGTTGTTTTTTCTGATGCATTAAATCATTCTTCTATTATCACTGGTATTAAATCTGCTAATGCTGAAGTTAGAGTATTTAAACATAATGACATGACTGATTTTAAAGCTAAATTAGAAGACTTAAAAATTCATGGAATGAAAAATGGACAACAACCAAAGAAAGTTATGGTTGTTGTTGAAGGTTTATATTCAATGGAAGGTGAGTTTTGTCCTTTAAAAGAAATTATTGCATTAAAAAAAGCTTATGGATTCTATTTATATATTGATGAAGCACATTCTATTGGTGCATTAGGTTCTACTGGAAGAGGTATTGTTGAACATCTTGGATGTAATTTTGATGATGTAGATATTTTAATGGGTACATTCTCAAAGTCTTTTGCAGCAGCTGGAGGATATATTGCCTCTGATAAAAGTACAATTCAATTATTAAAATCTAATTGTTATTCATATGTTTATGGATCTCCAATGTCACCAGTTGTTGCTCAACAAATTATTTCATCATTAAATATGATGAAAACAGAAGAAGGACAAAAAAGAATTGCACAATTAAGAAAATCTTCAATTAATTTTAGAAGAAGACTTATTGAAGCAGGATGTCATGTTCTTGGTGATACTGATTCACCAGTTATTCCAGTTATGTTATACCATGCAGGGAAAGTTAAGGATGTTTCTCGTGGATATCTTAAAAGAGGTATTGCTGTTGTTGGAGTTGGTGCTCCTGCATGTCCAATTACTGCATGTCGTGTAAGGTTTTGTATTTCTGCAGCACATACTGATGAAGATATAGAAAAAGCTTTTAAAGCAACTATTGAATGTTTGACTGAAACTGATTGTATTTTTAAAGATGCAGATTGTGGAAACATCATTTACAGACCACCTAAAGTAGATCTTGCTGAACTTGAGGCATTACCAAAAGAACCAAGAAAAATGACACCTCTTAGTGAAAATTCAGATAATAGAAAAATACTTCCTGAACCAGTCTCACCAATTGGACTAGAACTTAGCTCCTATGATATTCATGGGTTTAATAAAGATACAGAAAGAACAGAACAACTGGTTAATATTATTATGAATTATGGGTGTGGTTCTTGTGGACCAAGAGGTTTTTATGGAGGAACTTTAGAACACTTAAAAATTGAGGATAAGTTAATGAAATTCTTTAATACTAATGATGCATTAGTTTATAGTTATGGAAATAATGTAATTACTTCTATTATTCCAGTTTATGGAGGTGTTGGTGATGTTATTATTGTTGATGAATGTTGTAATTATCCAATTCAATTAGGATGTAGATTAGCAAAGAAAGCAAAAATTATTAAATTTAAACACAATGATATTGAAGACTTAAAAAAACAAGTTGCAGAGGCTAAAAAAACATTAGTATTTCCAAATAAAATTTCCATAGTTACTGAAGGAGTTTTTCAATGTGACTATTCTATTTCCCCATTGAAAGAAATTTCTGAATTAAGGTCTAATAATGTACTTCTTATTGTTGATGATTCACTTGGTGTTGGAGCTATTGGAGCCACTTTAAAAGGATCAATGGAATATGCAGGATTAACTATGAATGATATTGATATTCTTAGTGGATCTTTGGAATTTGTGTGTGATACAATTGGAGGATTTGTTGTTGGGAAGTACTCTGTTATTGATAAACAAAGGTTGTTTGGAGCTGGGTATATATTTTCTGCTTCTGCCCCAACATTTAGTTGTACTGCAGCTTGTATTGCGCTTGATGCTTTTGAGAAAAATGGTGTTGATATGGGTATTAAAATAAGAGAACAAAGAAATAAGTTCAATCAATTAATGCAAGAAAAAGCACAAAACATTCAAATTATAGGAAATGATTCCACCCCATATGTCTTATTGAACTGTGAAGGAAAAAATGAAGAAATTGTGAAAGACTTAAGAGAAAAAGGATATTTTGTTGTTCTTCAACAACATTTAGATGAAGACTGGTGTCAAAACAAATATATTAGGTTATGTATTGGTAAAGATTTTACTCAAGACAAAATGATAGAATTTATTAATATTCTTTCCAATTATTAAGGAAAATGATACAATAAAATTTTTAAACAATTCTAATTGAAAAATAAGTTTTCAATTTTTTTATTTTATTCATTTTCTGGTACAACCATTATCAAAACTCCCAGAAAAAGAATGAAACTTGTAACACATATAATTAATACTTTATTTTTGCAGTATTGATGCTCCCCTGCTTTTTTTTGCTGGTGAGAGTTTGTTGAACAAGGTTTTTTTGAAGAAGACTCTTGTTGAATATCTACTTTTTTGTTTTTATCATTGTTTCTGTTGTTATTTTGAATCTTATTTTTTAGCTCTAATATAGACTCTAACCCATTTTTAAGTTCCATCAATTCATCACTTCTTTTTTTTAATTCTTGCTTAACATCGTTTATAAGTTGTGGTGTCAATTCTTTTTTATCATCACTATTTTTTGTATCTTTTGACATCACCTAAATACTGTTAATAGTTCTTGTCATTCTAAGATAAAAAATTTTTAGAAACTAAAAGACATAAATTAGTTTAACGTCATTCAAATAATAAATTAATATATTAACTATTATTTAATCTAAATAAAAATAAACGATTGTTATTATCTTTATTTTGTCATTCATTTACTTTCTTTTTTATTAAGTAAAAATACATTTTATTTTTATGTTAGACAATTTTACAATATTTCTTATTAAGTGTTTCATCTTACAATTATCTTACAATTGTTATAACTGTTATTATTACTTTTTCTTATTAAATTAAATTTTTTCATTTTTTAATGACAAGTAAACTAATCCTTTGTTGAATACATTACAACTGTCATTAGTAGTACCACTTTTATGTTACTTAGTTAACTTATTTAATTTTGTTTTGAACAATTGGCTCTATGTTATTTGTAAAGCTAGACTTATTTTTGTATCATATTCAATTATCAAACGATTTATACTTTGTAATTATTTTATCTTATATATAACTGTCAAGTTGTTTATAAAATTTTAAGTTGTATTAATTAATTCTCAGTACATAACTATATCTTTTCTTCATTTTTAATTGTATTTTTTTATTTATTTCATTTTTAAAATATTTTGTTTTTATTCTCTTTTCTATTGAAAGTAAACCTAAATCAAACTTAAATTGAGAGTTATTTGTAATGAATATTTGTAATGAATTTTTAGAAAAAATTGTTATTTAAAAAGAGTAAAACAAATAAACATGTTGATTGTTTTATTCTTTGGCATGTATGAAGAAATAAATTAAAAATAAGAATATATCAATAAGATTTATTTTTTAAAGACATAATTAAATAATTTATTGTTTTATTTAACTTCTGTTGAATATAAATGTTTTTATTGAATTTAATGTTCAGAAGATTTATTCATGAAAATAGTCATAGAAAGGAATAATAGTAGGGAAAACAAGATCTTCACAAACTCGAATAGTACTATTTTTGATTGTGCTTGCTAAGGTTTTTATCATCCCATTTTGTTCAACAGCAGAATCAAACATTTCGGAATATCTCATAACCCATTCATTTATAAACTCTCTATTTTCAATAGTAAATACCCCTGTTTCTAAGCTCTTTGCTCCATTGTAAATTGGTTTAGCAATTTTTTTTATGAAAGGTATTTTAGCAGGTATGCGTGTTACTACTGCAATAAAATGACTACCTGATTTAATATATGGAACTACACCTGTTTTTTCTAATAACGCTGCTTTATCATTATAATACCCTAAACCTTTATAAAGCATTTGTTCACCAAATGTTTCTTTTAATACATGAATTTCTTGTGTTTTGTCTTTATTAATAATGTCATTCAATTTAGTCATTTGTTTAACTTCTTCCTGGATATAAAAAAACGAAGTATTTGTCTTTGTTTCATCTTGAATAATATTTTCTTCTTTTTCATTTAGACTTTGGAGAATTGAATATTGTATTTTCAATTCATCTTGAATTTTGTTAATGTCTACTAAAAGGTTTTTATATTCTAATTGTTTATTTGAATATATTTGAGTAATTTCAATTACTCTTTGTTGTTTTATTTCAATATCTTGTTGGACTTTAATTCCAATTTGTTCATTTAACTGTTTTATTTCTTGTGTTTTTTTCTTCAACTCAAATATAATCTCTAATTCTTTAAGAAGTCTCTTTTGTTCATTTTTTATTTCTTCAAATTCTCTTTCATACTCCATTTTTAATGTACTTTTTTGTTCTAGTGTTGTAGATGTTAATAAAATCAATTCTTGAGCTTGTTTTTTAATTTTTTCCATGGTATTTAACTGAGCAAATTCTTTTTCTAACTTTTAAGATTTTATCGAAAAAAAAATGTATTTGACATTAATTTCATTATTGTTTATTTCATTAAAGATATTAAACGTACTGAAAAATTCATTCTCTTATTTCTTATTATTAACCAAATCCATATGTTAAGTTGTGATATCCAATGCTTTTTTTTATTTTATTATTGAATTAAATATATTTCTATTTTACATGTTAAAGCATAAAGGATAAAGTATCATAAATGTCATTATCTCTTGGTTATCATAAAACCATATCTTTTAATGTATTTAGGACACTCATCTTTTCAGTACATTTTGTAATTCACTATAAAAGTTAACTTTAAGAATTTTAAGAAATGCATAATCACTATTTCTTTACTATGAAATTTATTATTCTATCTCAGTACCTTTTCAATGTTCTAACTTAAAAAAACAATACATTACTATTTTAATTCTCTTCATAATTATGTTATTATATAAATCTTATTCAAGAACAGTCTCAAGATATGATTGTTTATTTAGACTTTCATTAAAACTTTAATATTCTTTGTAGAGTTGTATAGTCATTTAGATGAAGATATCATTGACTTATCAGAAATATTAAATAATTAATTGTTGAATTATTAGTATCTCTCTTAAAAACCAAGAAGGATTGTTTTTTTAATTACGAGAGTGTCAAATTGATTGTTTTGTTATTTTAAAAAGAAAAAACTCTCAACATACATTTTTGTTGGTTGATTTATATTGATATAATAACAACAATTAATTCTAAAACAGAAAATTTTAAAAAGTAATTTAACTTATTATTAAAGACATTATGACAAATACAGGCAAAACATCAATGGCAACACCAGAATGTATAATTGGTGAATCTGTTATTTTTAATTATAAGTTGGTTAGTTCATACTCTAAAGAAATTGGGTTGTGTTTTCAGGTTACTGATGAACCTCACGTTTATGAAGTTGTTAGAATAATCAACTCTAAAGTACTTTTTTTTGAAGACCATCTCTCTCGTCTTCTTTACTCCATTGAACAACTCCCAAAAACTTCTCAAAACAATATCTCTAGTGAATTACTTTATGACAGCACTTATAAACTAATTAAGGCACTTCACTTAATAAATGGAAATATTAGAATTGTCGTTAGTCCAACGTTAATGCTTATTCATGAAAAAGAACATCATTACCCAGACATTGAAACAATAAAAAAGGGTGTAATTTTAGGTGAGGTTGATATTATGAGAGATAACCCAAATGTAAAATCAATGAGAGAAGATTATATCAATAACGTAAAAAAAGCTCATGAACAAGTATTTTTTGGTTCTAAAGTTTTTGAAGTTGTTTTAGTAAATCAAAACCACCAATATACAGAAGGAAGTCGTTCAAATATTTTCTTTATAAATTCAAATGAATTAAGGACAGCACCTGATAGTATGGTACTAAAAGGAATTACAAGAAAATATGTTATTCAAGCAGCTGAATCAATTGGTCTTGTTATTAATCAAACATGTATTACCCAACAAGAACTTCCTCATTATAAAGCTTTTCTTTCTGGTACTTCTCTTAATATCCTTCCAATTTATTCTATTGGAAATATTCAATTGGATAGTGCAAATGATCAAACAATTCAAAAATTACTTAAGGCATATCTCAGTATTGTCCAAGACTATTTGTCTAGACACTAATAACCTTTTCTTCTAATAATTTATTTTTCTTTTTGAAAAGTGTTAATGATATGTACTTCATAAAGATTCAATTAATTCATATTCAACGTTATTCTTTCATTTTTTATCATTGACGTGGATACCAAAGAGTCTTTATTAAACTAGGTTTAGAAGAAATTAAAAAAATAAAAAAGGATCGAACAAATCCAGTTTTGATGAATTCTCGAAGACCAAATAGTAGAAGAAGTAAATACTTTGATTATGAAATTCCTTCTGGAAAATTCAATAATGAATGGGCAATTACATTATATAATTCAACGGATAAAGATATTGATTCATTAAAACGAATTGCGAATGAAGCTGCTTCTGCAGTTGTTTGTGAAACAAGAAACAGAAGTGGAACAAAAAAGGTTAGAGGATTTTTTGTATTTCCTTATATTAAATCTATGTCACTATTACAACGAGAAATGGAAGGAAGAGGTATTTGGGGAGTTCCTAAATTAAAGCCAAGTGAGATGGAACGATGGGCTGATGTTGGTGATGTTATTGTTGATAAACAAGGTTCTGCCCCAAAAGGTAAAGTTTCCAAAAGAGAAAAATATCGTGGTAATTCATCTTTTAATAAACACCCTACTATATTAGCTACAACTCCATCATTTTCAAATAAACCTTCAAATGGTTTTCTTAATACTAGTAGTAGTGCACCACCTCAAACATCAAAACTAACTAAAACTAGTACATCTATTTCTGCTCCATTAGGTAATAATTCTTCAGCCATAGCTGATTCTCAAATATCTAACACTTCTTTAAAAAAGAATTTCCAAGAAAGTATTTATTTAAAAAGAAAAACAGCAAAAGTACTTCCTGTAATAACAAATAAAAAGAGTTACTTTATATTTGGAAGTTGTAGTGATGAAATAGCACTTAAAATGGCTGAAGAAATGAAAACTCCATATTATATTAAAGACCCTTCAAAATATTGGGATGACTATGATGATGAGAAAGTAATAGTAATTCTTGGACTAAATTCATTAAATGTTCAGTGTTATTCACAACTTCCATCACTCCTTGGTAATTATGCAATTAAAGTCCCAGGAAGAATTTGGCCATTAATGGTTAATCCAACAACAGTAATTATTTCATCATATGATACAATTGATAACATATACAGCTCTTATCCAGTTATACAAGAAATAATAAAAAAGTGTTGTACTATTATTGATTCTTCTTCACAAATACAGGCTTTAAAAACAATAGATATGTCCTCAAGCCTAACAAATACTCAAAACGTTACACCACAAGAAGTGAAAAGTCATCCTTTAATTGAACCATTTGAATCTATACCTCAACCAAAAATATCCCAACCAGATTCTTTTATGAGTAGATTAAAGGAAAGAGAAAAGGACCACACTAGAACCAGATCAGATTCTCGAGATCGTAATTGTCCTTATTCACATTATAATTCACGAACTTCTAGAGATGGTTACGAATTAAATCCTGAATCTGATTATGAAAAACGATTTTGATTGAATTATTTTTTGTTTTTTAAAGTTATTTTTTAAGAAAACACTAAAGTTAAATAATTCTTTTAAAGAAACTTAATTTCGGCAATAGAGATGTTTGGTTACAAAAAAGATAAAATAATAAAATGAATTAAAATGAATTAAAAAAGATGAAGTGTCACATAAAAATGTAGATGGATTTAAAAGTTAAAAAGAAAAGACACAATAGAAGAATTTAGAATATTCTATTTATTGTGAAAGGGTAGAATAAGAATGTAATATGAAAAATCAATCTTGTTTGAATGTAAAAATAAGTTCTATCAAGGTGAGTTGAAAGAGGGATAAAAGTTCTGATAAAGAAAAGAAATAATTAAATCTTAAACAAAATAAATAGTAAAATAAACAAAAAAAAGAAAAAATTACCCTAACACCCAAAATTCTGAGGGAGTGTAGGGAGTTGTTAAGAAGAATATAAAAAGAGTTAGTTCATCTATAAACTAATAGACTATGCAATTTGAAAAAGTTACATACATTGCTGTTCCACAAAAATATGGTCAAAAGAAAGTTGGAGTTGAAGAAGGACCTAAATTTCTCGAAAAATTAGGTTTTATGAATGTCTTAGAACAAGTAGCAAAAAGTGTTAATAAAAAAACCATTACAGAACCAAAAACACCACAAGAATTAGGAGTAACTAATGCAAGAAATTTAAATGAAGTTGAGTCTGTCAATATTGAGCTAAGAGATACAATTGCAAAAGAATATGATGTTAATAATTTACTTATTAATATTGGTGGTGACCATTCTATTGGACTTGGAACTATTGCTGGTGTTGTTAAAGCAATGAAACCAAATGCTAGGGTTGGTGTTGTTTGGTTTGATGCTCATCCTGATATGAACACTCCAGAAAATTCACCTTCTGGAAATATCCATGGAATGCCATTAGCTTGTGCTGTTGGTCTTGGACCACAAAGACTTACTTCTATTATGCCACATTATATTACTCCTAAAGATATTATGTATGTTGGAATTAGAAGTATTGATGTTGGAGAACAATTTGAAATTCAAGATAAACATATTGACCACTTCACTGCTGAAGATGTTAAAAGAGTTGGAATGAAAGAAGTCATTGAAGCAATCAATAAAAAGTTTGTCGATTATGATGTAATCCATTTATCATTTGACATTGATGGTATTGACCCAGAATTCATTTTGGGAACTGGCACTCCAGTACCGAAAGGAATTTCTTTAGAAGATTCTTTATATTTTATGTCTGAAATGGGTAAAATGAAAAAATTACATTCTGTTGATATAGTTGAATATAATCCTAAAATTGAAGAAGAAATTACTGGAAAAAATGTTTTGAAATGTATCTCTTCACTTTTTGGTATAAAGTGTTGACATACTAATTGCTGGCTCCAACAACTTTTTCTTTATTGTAGAATTCAGCATTTTTGTTCATTTTATTTTTATTTTGTAATGTCATTACTTTAAAAATGAGCTAAAGTAATTTTTGAAAATGATACATCAAAAACACCATATAAACATGAAAATAAATCCAGTCTTTGAATCTTCAATTATTGTCTTGTCATAATGTTGCCATTGTGTAGAAAATATCTTATTCATTATTATATGGATATCAATAATTATTATTTATGAGAGAATATCAATTATTGTTATAAAAGATTGGATATTTATAATGACTGGGTAGTATTACTGAATTATTAGAAGGGGATATTATCAAAGAAATAGGATTTATTTATTCTCGATGATAAATGAAATTAGTCATAATAATAAAGTGGTATAATAAATTTATCATACAACAACAGTATAAAAGAATGAATTATTTTAATATTCATTCAATTCAAAATAAAAATCAAATAATAACTGCAATGAAGAAATAATTAAGTTGATGGATGATGTTTGAAAAGAATGTAATTTAATAGAAATAAAAGTTGTTGAAGTAACTGAACTACTCACTTTTTAACATGATAAAAAATACTAAATTATTAGGTAAATTATAATTGATTTCTTTATTTAAAATAAATCAACAAGTAATACCAACAAGTATTAAGAAGATTTTATTAGGGCAATTCAGAATAATTAATTCTTAACTAGAATTATTTTGATATGTTTTATTTCATATACTTCTTTAAATACTTTAACTATATACTACAATTTTTGCTTGTGTTTTATGTTTGTTTGATAAGAATAAAAAAATAGGTAATAAGAAAAGAATAAAAGTATTTTAATATAACATGTTTTGTTTGTTTTTATTTCTTTTATTCTTTGTGGTTATTTTCTTCACCTTTTTATTATTATTTGAGAATCAATCTTTTCTTTATTCTTTTGTTTTTGTTCATTTAGTCTTGTTAAGTATATATTTTTTAGTATTTGTTTATGATTTGATTAACTTTCTATAGAAAAGAATAAAATGAAAAATGAAAAAACTAAAAAAATGTAAATAAGAAAAAGGACATGAAGTAAGCCATTCCTAATGGCATGACGTGGAAAACAATATTATTAAAAGGACTTATCTTAATAATGCATCATCTCAAATTTAAAAAAAAGATGGACGATACAGTAAGTTATGAAAATCTTATTCCTAGTGAAGAACGAGATATTATGAAATTAGAACATTATCCACATACTATTTCATATGGTAATTATTTGTGTAATTCTCTGAAGTCACCATCCCCAAATTATTCAAATCAACCACCATCATTATTTGTTGCTGTTGACACAACAAATAATACAATGTTTACTAAATCTATTATTTATGTTGTAAAGAAGCTTGTTCCAGAATTTAAAGATACTGCAGCTGATAAGTTTACTTTCAGACATTTCACTGAAGGAATTACAAATAAACTTGTTTGTATAACAGACACTACAAATGGTTTTGCTGTTAATGTAAGAACTTATGGATCTTATACAGAATATGTCATCGATAGAAAACAAGAACTTCTTATTACAGAGGCATGTAGTTCAGTAATATTATATGGTACTTTTTTAAATGGGGTTGTATATTCATATATTCCAGGAAGAACACTTACAATAGGTGATTTAATTGATCTCAACACATTTAGAAATACAGCAATTGCTATTGCCAAACATCATAAAATTAATCCTCCACTCATCAAATCTCCATTATTATTTGTTACATTAAGAAAATGGATTATCAATGTACCAACAGAATATGTAGACTCTAAGAAAGTACCGTTTGATGTTAAAATATTAAAGAATGAGTTAATATTTTTAGAGAATATATTAAAAAATAAATCAGATGTAGTGTTATGTCATAATGACTTATTATTAAAAAATTTCATTAAAGGAGAAGATAATGTTTCTTTGATTGACTATGAATATAGTGGGTATAATTATCGTGCATTTGATTTAGCAAATCATTTTTGTGAATGGTGTGGGTTTGATTGTAATTGGGATAGTTATCCAAATGAAGAAACACAACGTCGATTCATTGGTATTTATCTTTCTACTTATTATAAAAAATCTGTTGAAGAATTATCTTCTGAAATAGAAAAAATTATTGAAGATGTAAAATGGTTTGAGTTAGCTTCTCATTATTTCTGGGGTACATGGGCGCTTATTCAAGCAGCATTATCAACTATTGATTTTGGTTATATTGAATATGCCCATAAACGTTTTGATCGTTATTTTGTTGTTAAGGCTCTTTTATTAAAAGAACATCCTCAAGTTGCTAAATAAATACGTTTTTATTAAATATATTTGGTTATTTTATAAGTATAAGTTTTATAAAAGCCTTTAATAAAATTCCCATTAACTTCAAGCATTTTATATTCTTAAAAAAAACTTTGTTTATCTTCTATAACTTTCTAGATCTTCTATGTAAAACGAAAAAAGAAAATACGAAAAAAATAGACTAAGTTAATGGAAAAAAGAGGGAAAAGAGGTAGTATTAAGGGAATTAAAATTGGATTTAAATCTTAGGAAAATAGAATAAGAGAATAAGAGAATAAGAGAAAAATAGCTAAGAAGTAATGTAAAATTACCTAATTTTTTAGGAAAAGAAGAATTTTAAAGAAGAGAAGTATTTAAAGAACTTAATATCTCCTATTAAACAGATAGAAAACTTTACTAAGAATATATATGATTAAAAATGTTTCACCCTCAGACCCTGATTCTGACCATGACGATCTAACTTGGATACAATGGTTTTGTTCACTTTCTGGAAATGAATATTTTGTTGAAGTTGATGAACAATTTATTGATGACGAATTTAATTTATATGGACTAGACAAATTTGTTACAAACTACGAATCTGCACTTAATATTATTTTGAACTGTGGTTATAATGAAAGTAAATCACGTGGAACTGATCCACATTTACTTCAAAAATCTGCAATGAAGTTATATGGATTAATTCATGCTCGATTTATTCTTTCTCCAAATGGAATGAAAAAAATGAAAAAAAAAATAAATGAAAATACATTTGGTCGTTGTCAACGATTAAAATGTTCTGATCAAAATTTACTCCCAGTTGGTATTTATAATACCCCAGGAGAAGAGTCTGTTAAATTGTTTTGTCCACGATGTGGTGATTTATATATTCCAATGCCACCACATGATTCTCGTATTGATGGTGCGTTTATTGGTACAAATTTTCCACATCTATATATGTTACAATATCCTGATGTTGTTGAAGAAAGTTCTAGCTCATCTGACTCACTTTCTAATTCTCTGAATAGTTCAAGTTCTGATGAGTATGTTCCTACGATTTTTGGGTTTAAAATAAATACTAATCCAAAGAAAGGTATTGTCTCAAAACCTTTAATTCCAGTTAGACGAACTTTTGTTTGTTATTAAAATAATATTAATTAAATTCTATTAAATCATTTGTGTTAGAAAAATTAATAAAAAATTGTTTATTTTATAAAAATATATCTTGGTTATTTTTGACTATATCGTGGAATGGATGGATAGCCATTAGGTGGTACGTTTGATGGTACATTTGATGGTGGAATTCCGTAAGGTGATGGAGGATAGTAATTACATTTATAATATTTAGGATTTTGTTGTGGGAAGAATGGTTGTGGTGGATAATAGATTGGAGGTGGAACAAGCATTGGTCCTACAATTGGATAAGGTTTTTGGTAACAATTAAACATAGGATATTTCATGTTCTTATTACTTTTTTTCAACATTTTCTTTTCTCTTTTTTTTTCTTTCTTTGAAAGATACTTCTTATATTTTAAACTTTCATCAAACAATTCTTCATCAATAAAGTCATCACCTTCTTTTTCAGTACCAACTCTTTGTTCTTTTAAATATTTCTTAATAATTTTCTTAGCTACCTTTTCAGACTTATATTGAACGTAGGCTTTAATTAATTTTCTTTGTTCTTTTGGGAGTGAACTTAAACACTTCTCCCAAGAACTTTTCAATTCTGTTATTTCTTCATCACAAGACTTTTCATCAGACAGACTATCTTCTTGTTGAATATCTGTAGAATAAGGATAAGCTATGTCCATAATAAAATCAAGTTCTTGTCTAGGAACTTGTAATTATAAATATACCGAAAAACTTTTTTGTTAATGAGGAATTATTCTATCCTATTTTATAAAGAGATTTTCTTTCTATTAGTAAATAGTAATTTTAACGATTTTTTAATCAAAGAATAATCAATTCGGGCGATGAATATGTACTGAAGCTAGTTCTTGAGGTAATTTATCTACGGCTTCCCATAAGAAACAAATTGACTCAACAACCATTTGGTTTGACTGGTTTTGAATTAAGAATGACTTTAAACAGTCAAAATATAAGGAATTGGAGATTTCTGATATACAATTTAATCCTGCTCGTAGTTTAGAGCGTGTAACAATAGACTCATCATCAAAAGAATGTACACAACATAATGGTATTAATATTTTTAAATATTCTATTGAGAATTTCTGGAGAGAACTCTCAAGCTCAGGAGTGTCATCATATAAAGTGTACATCTCTTCAAAGAACTCCATCACATCAACACAATTTTCTAATGAAGTAGAACAATACTGTAATAATACTGGGATGATATCAATGAGGATTGGTGCGTCATAAAATGCAATTGAAAAATTAATCAAAGTTTGCAATGCGTTTGGTGTTTGTAAAAGAATAATTAATTGAATGACTTGAGTTGTCATTTGAAGAAAAGGTTGTTCAATTAATTCTGAAGCTATTAATATTAAAGAATAGTCACAAAATGAATGAATAAATATTCACAAACCTCGTATAAATAAGTTTGAAAATAAGTCTAATGAATAGTCAACATAAGTAGAATTTTTTAATGACAAATAAACTATCTGTAATAAAGATGAAAGTAATTCTTTTGGAAATGTAGATGAATACTGAACAGCATCAGATAAAATTAAAATAGATGAAAGGTTATTTGTTTGTATAAACGTTGTCATAATTTCTTTTTGAAACGAAGTTATCAGTTTTTGTAATTGAACTGAAAGGTCATATGGTAATATATCAATAGTTTCATATATCCCATGTAATAATTGAATTTGTAAATCTAATGATGAATAGGATTGTAACACTATCATTGGATTGCATTTTGTTTGTAATATGTACATTGCAATAGTATAACTAATTACAGAGTTCATTCTATTAACATAATAGTCAAAAATTTTTGTACATTTATAATACAAAAAAAACTAAAACAAACTTATTTAATAAGAATATAGGTAATTGGTTTGACTGTTGGTGAAGAGCCATAATATGTTGCAACAGTTGTTGAATTATTTCAGTTGAAAATCTCCTTCTTTTAATAAAATTATAAAAGGCATTTAATGAAAAAAAGAGAAGCTCTTGGTCTCCTAGTTGAACTGCATGTTGAAGTAGTTTCCCTGCACTATCACTTTCTAAGTATTGTGTTAGTTGATGTTCTACTTCTTTACGTATTGTTGGATTGTTATTTGAATAGAAAGTGTGAACTAACTCTCTTAGATGAACAATCGTTTGGTGGTTCTCTTCCCCAAAAGGATTCATATGATTTTTTATCAAACTCTTTTTTAAAGGGTTTATATTTTTGTTTTATATAACAAATTCATTTATTTAAAGAAACAAACTACAAAAACTATTCTATGGAAAGACAAGTCGATATCATCGATCAAATTTTTGCGAACATTGATTACCTTAACGATGCTATGTGTTTGCCATTAATTGAACTAACAAACAGATTAGGAACAGCAAGTCAAAAAGAGCCACAATTAACAGATGATGATTATAAAAAATATGCTAAAGATATTATTGGAATATCAAAAGGAGTTTGTTGGTTTTATCTTTTTTTGATATGCTAATTGTTTTTGTTAGACATTACCAATTAATTTAATAGTTGGATGGATTAATTGATATATTACCACCTTCAGAAATTGATACAGAGAAGAATAATGATAAGATAAAAGAACTTACTGAAAGAAATACAATAATTGATGCAAAATTAAAAGAAATCTTAAAAGAAAGTGATGAGTGTCTATCTCATCTTTACAGTCTTGATAATGCAGTGAAACAAGAAGTTATTTATTCTAAAAAATAATTAATTTACTATGTCAAGTGAAAAGAAGTCATGTTGATTTTATATCAGTTTAAAAAGATAACTATATAAAATATAGTTTTTCTTCTACAAAGAATAAATACTATTGATGGACTTATTATTAACAAATACAGAATATATTATAGTAGAAGAAAAACCTTTTGTCATGAAAAATCCTTGTTTGGAATTAATGTTCTTTGTCTCACTTGGATTAGCACTTGTAGCAGTGCCTTATTATTTCTACTTAACTCACTCAAATTGTTTCAGGTAAAGGTAAGTCCATCTCCTTTATATTTTATACTGACAATGTTTTAAATTGGATTAATTAATTAAACATTCTTTCTCGTTATTAATTTTTAAAATTTTTAAGAAAAATATTTTAAGTATATTTCGAGGTTAATTTATTGTAAATTGACTTTGAAGTATTTCTTCTTTATTTTCCATTATTCATCAGCATTTGTTTTTTTCTAGTTAATTTATAGAATAACCTATGTTATATTTCATAGTTTTTAACAGTAGTTTATGATTGTACATCATTTCGTAATATTTCTGTATTTTCTTAATTTGGTATTATTATTAATTCTAAGTTTATTAAATATGCAAAGATAGTCATTAAATAGTCATTATTTTATATAATTATTTTCATAATATGCTCTCATTGTTATACTCATGTGTTTAATTATTAATAATAACAACATAAAAGCTATTGGACAAATAGTTAAATAAAGATTATTAAATAAGGAGCAATAAAAATTAAGTTAGTAAGAATCAAGTTTAAAGAAAGAGACTCAAAAAAATGAATACCCTTAATCAATAAGTTAATTATTTAAGTTTGGTTTCAAAATTAAAAAGAAGTACCTTCAATACATAACCAGAAACAAGTAAATATAATTTAGTTAAACTCAGTAATAATGAAAGTTATTATTAGCAACGATTATATAATAAGAAGATTCACTCTTGGTGTAGATGTAAATTCATTTGATCCAAATAAAATGGGAAGATTACCAGTACATAAAAAATATTAAATAATAAATTAATTTAGTTTCAATAGAATTGGTTTCTATTGTTCATTGTTCTTGGGAGACTAATTCTGTCTCATTGTCATTATCTGGCAGATCTTTAATACAAAGGAATAATTAACAATGAAATTATTAGATGATGTTTAAAATATAAAATAATTCTAAATAAATATAGAAATATAAATATAGAATAAAGACAAATAGAAATAAAGTAGAAATGATAATAAAATAGTTGAAACCATCAATAAAACTGAATTTCGTTTCAATTTGAATTAATGAAAATGAAATAATATTAATGAAAATGCCAATGATATGAATAAATAGAATATAAAATCAAATTAATGAATATAAAATCAATACAAACAAGTAATGACATAAATAAACAAACTATAAAATACGATAATACAACAATGAACATTCAATAATATTTCATCAATTATTAAATATAAATAAAGTATTTATAGATGAGTTTGTAGTTTCAACCTAAAGTGGATGATTGTATATAAAATAATATAAATAAAATAAACAGAATATATTAAACAAGAAATATAAACATATTAAATTCGTATTGTATTTTATTATTTTTATTTATCTGATTCTTCTAATTTCTTGATTTTATCTTATATATTCATTTCTCCAATTGAAACAATTTTATCTATTAAATCATTATGTACTTTATTTACTGTTTCTTCATCATTATCACATTCTTTTATTATTCTTTCAATTTTGTTCATTACTGTATTTATTTGGTTTATTGTTTCTTGGCCTTTCTCTACCACTAATTTTCTTCTTCTTTATGTTTCTTCCATCCTATCAAATATTCATTTTCCTCTTTTAATAGATTCTGAATATTTTTCGTTCTCGTTTATTTTAAATACTTCATAAATAATATTGATAATTCTTATTAACATCATCAATTGATTGTTGAATCTTTGGAATCGTTTATACTACTTCTTTAATAAATTGGTTTTTCTTGTTTATTAACTCTTCCATTTTAATTTAATTTGATGTTTATAAGTTCAAAATATTTATGTTTAAATAGTTAATACACGTTATTAACACATCAAGTCAAGTATTATTTTTAACATCATTCTATTTTATATCAAACATCATTCCTTTATTTTACATTAACAACAATTAATAACGATGAATGAGCATAAAATAAAGAAAAACCAAACTATATCATCAGAAGTGATTATAAAAACACAAAATAAGTATAGAAATGAACATGAAAAATTAAATGATAATAAATTAATAATAATAACAGTAAAAATAAAAGAATGAGAAAGTAGAAACGATAGATAAATAAAAGGTGATGATGATAACATCATAAATAAATTGTTTAATAGATAGAATATAAAATGATAGATGATAAAAGTATATAAAGATAAAAAAAAAGCGATCAAATTCTAGTAAATAAGTCATGAAAATTAAGAATACAAATTAAAAACAAGAGAAAAGAACAATAAAAGAAATAACACATGAAATAAGTGGTATTAAAACATTCTTTATTCTTTTTTTAATTAATTATTTTCATGTTAAATTTATTAAGAGTTAAGATATTTTCTTTTGATTATTAATTTTAATAAAAAAAATCTGGATATATCACATAAATTATTTAAATGATTATTAATGTCATACTAAAAATGGCATAATGAAAAATGAGATTGAAAAGAGGTGACAAAACTTAAAAATAATAGAAGCTGTACAATGAATGAGATGAGTGAGATTGTGCTTAAAGATGATAAAAATATGATAATTGAAAATATGTATTACAGTTGTAGAAGGGTTACTATCAGACAAAAGTATTGTGAAATATGGAAAATTAAAAAACGACAGATGATGATTGACATTAATTTAAATAAAATTACAGAAGAAGAAAAGAAATTGATTATTAAGTGTGTTGAATACTACCAAGATACATTCCAAATATATGACTGTATTTCTCCAGTTAATCATTTCATTGTCACGAGAAGTAATCAAATAGAACATCTTATTCTGTTTACTCCTCTTCCACTTAAATCTCAACTAAATGAATACTTTTCACCTAATTCTCGAATTAGTGGAAGTGAAAAACAATTACATTCTACCACCATTATTACTCTACTCAATATTCTTAAAAATAAATCATTAATTCATAAAGTAATTCTTAATTATCAACAACTCAATATATCTCTCTTTGAAATTGACTCAAGTCCATTTCCATTAATACAATTAACTCCATTAGCATTTATTAATCAAATTCTTACTCCTTTACAATCTAATATTCCAAATAATTGTAGTTATTGTCAAGATCGGACTAAAAAACTCACACGTCTTCAACTTGAGAGTATTAATTCATTGATGTCCTTAGTACAAGTAAATCAATGTTCTATCATAGAAACTATAAACAGTTATACTGAATTTGAACGTGAATTAGAAAAACTATCTAATACAATAAAAAAGATTTCCTCTAAGAAAAGTTCATCATCAGTGAAAGAAATAGTTGTAGATGATTATTATGTTATTTCAGAAATTGGTAAGGGAAGTTTTGGAACAATATTTAAAAGTATTGAAAAGAGTAGTGGAAAAGTAGTTGTTTTAAAAGAAAGTTTTAATGAAAAAAGTGATAACTTAATAAAAGAAGAACGAATAATGGAAATGTGTCATCATCCTAATATTATTAAATGCTATGGTTATTCTACTTTATATAATAGAAAAAGTGAAAATAATTATTTAATGAATGGAAGTTGTATTGCGTTAGAATATTGTAAATTTGGTAATTTAAGTGATTTTCTTTCAAAAAAAATAATGAAAAATGATAAACTATCTTTTAGTCAAGCTAAACTAGTTTTTGGTCAAATTGTATCTTCATGTATTTATTTACATTCTGTATTTGGCATTATTCATCGTGATATTAAATTAGAAAACTTCCTTGTTTATGATGAGTTTCCTTCTATTATTATTAAACTCTGTGATTTTGGTGTTGCATTGAAAGCTACAAAAGACATGGAATATGGAGTTGGTTCTCCATTATATGCTGCTCCAGAAATTGTATTTCAACAAACATACAATGATAATAGTGATTTATATTCATTAGGAATTGTTTTGTATTACTTGATATATCTTCAATTCCCTTTCAAAATTAATTCACTAAATGAACTTAAAGAAAGGTATCTTCTTAGTGAGAATATTGACTTTTTATGGACTGAAAATAAGAAAGAATATGTTTTTCTTGTTGATTTACTTAAAAAACTTATTGTTTTTGAACGGAAAAAAAGAATGACATGGGATCAATTTAAAACTCATCCATTCGTTGTTGATTGTTTAAAACAAATAACCTTTGTTCATTAAATTGTTATATTTTAATTCAGTTAGTATGTGTTTTGTTCTTCAAAGTTGTATGATTTATGAACGACGAGTAAATGTAACAATTAGTCGTACAACACCTGAATGACTAACTTGTTCATAATGATAATCAAATCCTTGTTGTTTCATTAATTCAAAAAAATCAACAATTCTTCCTCCATTTCCAATGTAAACAACTTTTGCAGCAATAATAGCTTTACCATCTTCTTTTAATAATCGAGAAAGTAGATGAGCAAGTTTAGGTTGATATTCAGGATTATAAGTAACATCACCACCAATTATATAATCATATCTCCCTTCTACTATTAAATCCCAATCACCACTAATGAATTTTACATTACTGATATCAAGTTCATTTACTTGAAAATTTAATTTTGTAAGTTCAAGAACATCGCTATTATAATCAGCTACATCAACTTCAATACCATGTTTTTTCAATAATACGGATGGCAGTGCTTGTCCACATCCAACTTCTAATACTTTTTTCCCTTTAAACAATTCAATATGATGAGCAATATAATTATAAAGATCATCACCACCTTCCCATATTTGAAACCCACCTTCATAAACACCAGTTTTAATAGTTTGAACACTAGCATGTTTAATTTTTTTGACTTGTTCAATTCCATCACATTTGGGGTAATAATCGCTTTGCATTTTTTAAGTATTAAAATTTCTATTTCTTTTTTTAATTTTTTTATTTTTATTGATTGATAAGGAATACACATTAAGTCTTTTAAAAAGAGAGTTTATTTAGGTAGGAGATTCTATAGTCAATCTTTATGACTTATTTTTTTATTGAAAAGAAAATATAAAATAGATTAATCTAATGGGATGTTAAGCATCCTGAAGTGAAGACTTCAACAAAAAAAATCCTTAAGATATTTAAGAGATTAGATTAAGTTCTTATTTTATAGAGTCACAACCATAAAAGAAATTCTTTGTTTCAATACATAAAACATAATAATTATTATTCCAACAAAAATATATTTGCAAGAATTGAATCAATAAACAAAAGTCAATAACATTTAGTTAGAACAATTTGTTTAATTTCGTTCTATGTGAAAGAAGTAGCAAACTCTTTGAATGATATATTTTCTTTTTTTTTTCTTTAAATGTTTTTTTTCCCTTAGGTGACAAAGAATATAGTCATCAATCTCATTTAAATTGGAACGAAGAAATGGGTCTGTTGTTTTAGACAGTGTTTTCTTGATTTTTTTCAGACAGTGAATTTCTTGACAAGACATTGTGTATTGAAACTTTAATTCCAATAAGCTAAGTTTCCTTTTTACTTTGGGATCAAACATATCTTCTGATGAGTTATTCATATAAAGACTACTAACTTCTGTTGTGATTGGTACATTTTTTGTAGTTCGAAGATGAATTGGAGAGATAGAAGTGAGAGTTTCATCATCTAGATGGAGTTGTGTTGCCGAAGATTCACTTAGTGTTATGTCACCATAGTTTAAGAAGAATTGTTGAGAAAGAGGGAGGGGAAAATTTTCCAGTGGGGTAACATTAAGTTCATTTTGTTGGTTCTCACTTTCATCCATTTGTTTATTCTTCTTTTTGAAGTATTGTTTAATAGAGATTTCTTTTCATTCTCCAAAGATAAACAAATTTTGAATTTAAGTCAAATGAAAATATTTTACATGAAACTTTTTTTTATTGTTTTAACGACACTAAACCTAAATCATAGAACTTGAAACAATAGTTATGATACTCACATTGGTATTAGTAATGGTTCTAATGAAATGACAGAATTATTTAATTGTCTTAATAAGTAAAAGAAACCTCACAAAAGGTATAAAGAATTTAATTAACAAAATTATCAATGACTTGATAACGAACAATTCTATGAATTTATTTTATTAAAGGACAAATACTTAGTAAATTATTTTACTTTCTTTACATAGAATTGTTTTTATTAAATTAGTTCAAAAAAAATAGAAGGTATAGACTAAAGGAATGTATTATTAATTTGTTTGTTAGAGAAGTGATTATTAGAAAACGTAAATATTTCTTTAGTATAACATATTATTATAAATTCTGAATTACTAGGTTATAGATAGAAAACTAGTTTGAAGAAATACTTAAGAGTAATTCTTAAAGAATAAAATAATAGATGTTCAAAAAGTTTAACACTGAAACAGTTTATGAATAATAATGAAATAAAGAATTATTGATAATAATTATGATAATCAAAGTAGTTTTGATTAGTTAAAAGTTATAGAGATTATTTTTCAAATATGAAATAAGTATGGTTTTGTGCTAAAAAATAAAGTGTATCAATTGATATGTAATATGTTATTTAAACTCAATAGGAATTAAGTATATTAGTAGTTCTTTTTAATGAAACAAAATGTGACGTGTAAGAAAGAAAGCCAATTTTCATTTTTTTTCTTTTAGTTTAGTGAAAAAACTTAAAAAGGAAGATTGATATTGTTTAGATGAATATCATCATTTTTTTAGTTATTTATCAGGTAATAGCGTCATGGTATACTGATAAAAATAATCATATTTACTATGGACTAATTGGTGAGCTTTTTAGTGATGTTGGATATGATGTTTCTAAAGGACTTTTTAGTGACGTGTATGTATTTACATTTTCCGGAGATTGTTGTTATAAATCAAGAGACTATTATTACATTGATCCATACTTTTCAACTAATTCTAAAGTGTGTTATGTCCAATCAACATCTAAATTAAAACAATTATACTTTCTTGAAGACTCTCCAACAGTACAATGGAAATTTCAGTTGGAAGAATTACCTTCTTCTATTCAATTTATATTAGAAAATACACGATCTACAATTGATACTGGATATGAAACATTACTTCAAGTTGGGAGTAGACCTGTACGCTTTTTTATTCACTGTTATGAAAGGATGACAATTCATTATCAGAGTGAAGATCGACCGTATATTTACTTAGAAGGAAATAATAATATGCAGAGTGTAACTATATTAAATGAAATAGATACAATAAAATATGTTTTTAATGGTATTTCTATTGACACAGTCGTTGGATATGGGGATAATACAATTACATCAATATGCTCTATTGGTTCATTTAATCGATTTGTTCAACATGAATCAACCCTAACACTGAAACAAGACTGTTCTTGTTCTATTCACTCTGATAGTTCTTCAGTTAATTTTCATGAGTTTACAATGAATTATCCAGACTGTTTATACAACAATTCTCTTTTCTATTTAACTATTCTTCAACATCAAGTTACGATATCATTTAGAGAAGATGCACCTCTTCTTTGGAAGGGGATAATATTTGAACCACGGTTTGGTATAACTATTATTCAAATAGCATCAAGTACTAAATTATATTTAACTGAACTAACTGAATTACCAACAACACGTTTATATGTAATTGGAAAAATTCATTTTAAATCAGTTTTATTTCCACAAACGAATGTTATTCATTGGTTTACAGATATTTCATATGATCAAGCTGATTTTACAAGTCAAAAAGGAAAGATTGTATTTGTTGGAACAAATACTTTTCATCAAGGAGTGGAAAAAATATGTGAAAATGGAAATAGAACTCGTTTTGGATATCTTTCTTCACTTGGTTGTACTTGTCAATACACAACTTCATTTATTCAAGATGATTGTTTTGAAAGTTCTCTTTATGAAACGAATATGTTAGACCTTGTTCTTACTTCTCAGGAAACAACATATAGTTCTATTGATGGAAGTTATTGGAATAGTATTACAACTTCAACTGTTTCTTATTTAAAAGGAACAATAAAATCTAATATTTGTACATTAAATGGAAAAACTACAATTTATGGTAAATTGATTTGTAATACAATATACCTTAATGGAAATGTAACAGTTATTGGAAGTGATCCTTTAAAATCAAATCAAATAATTATTCAAAAAGATTGTAGTCTTGTTGGAAATATTCAGTCTATAAATTATGAAATATTATCTAACTGTAATGTTATTTTTGAAAATAGTTTCTCTTCAAATATTGTTTTAATTATTCACGAAAATTCATTTCTTACTTTTAAAAGACCTGTTATTATCGAAAAAATAACTACAGGAATTAATGTTCAAATTAAAGCAGAAAGAATTGAATTTGTTGAATTAATAACAGATAATTTCTTCTCATTAAATGCTTTAACATGTACTATTCAAAGTGGAAGTATTCGATTGAATTATGTTGTATTAACAAATCAAATGATTATTAAAGAAAATGTTAATTCTATTTCTATTGAATCAATAACATTTAAGAGTATTGGTCTTCCATTACTTTTTCTAGAACCAACATCAAATGAATTATTAATTAAAACTATTCCTCAATGTATATCATGTTCTAATATTCTTTTCCTTGAAGCAAATTCTAGAAAAATAGTGGGAGTAGAACCATCTTTATATTCATGTGACCAACAATTAATTGTCTTAAATAAGTTAGATAATTTCATTGGGTGTAAGACATTACAATTATATAATAAGAAATGTGAATATGGAAACCCATCAATAACTCCACTTTATTCATGTCCATGTCATGGATCTTCTGATGTTTATTGTACTACTATTATCTATTCATCTTCATATCAATTATCTGATGAGGAATATCCAAATGAAATTGAAATTTTAAACACAGCAGAGTTAAAAGTTAAAAATAAAGAATTTATACTTAAAACAAATGCAAATGTAGAAATAAAAGGTTCTTTAAATAATATTGTTTTTAGTCCTTCTGATTCAACAATTCAATTAAGTGTTTCTCAATCAAATATGATTTATGCACCAACTGGATATGGAATTTCTTATTCAACAGGAAGTTTGGTCACATCTTCTCCAGAAGAATTATGTCTTATTGTTTATGTATCAAATAATGGAGCTGAATGTATTAAATGTAAAATAGGAGAAGATCAAAATGGAAATTGTCTAGATGCTATTGAAATTGAACATTGTAGAGCATTATCATCAATAGACAAACGATGTGATTTTTGTGATTATTATTATTATTATTATTATTCTTCAGGAGTATGTTCTAAATGTCATGATGAACATTGTAAATCTTGTAATGAAACAAATTGTTTTGTTTGTGATGAGAATTATATTGTAAATAAAAATGAATGTTCTCGTGTTACTATGTGTGATTATTATTCTAATGGAGTTTGTTATGAATGTCCAGAAAAAAGTTTTCCTATTAATGGGGAGTGTCAACCATGTGAGGTTACAGGATGTTTAAAATGTACAACAGCTACAACATGTTCAGTGTGCGATGTTACAAATGGGTATTTCTTATATGAAAATCAATGTAAATTTGTTAAAGGAACAATAACAAATTCACATATTATTTCTTGTCCTAGTCAATTTTATTTATTAAATGATAATTGTATTAGCTGTTCTGTTAAACATTGTATAATTTGTACAGCTGAAGTATGTTACAACTGTCAAGAAGGGTATGTACTAAATAATGCTGGTGAATGTATTCCACAACCAACAACATGTAATGCAAATAATTCAAGGTGTATAAATTGTCAAAAGTTTGAATATCTTAATTATACCGAATGTGTTGAATGTTCTAGTCATTGTACTAAATGTACAAATGATGGGAATTGTGTTTCATGTGAATCTGGATATGTATTAGAACAAGAATTTGATGATTTCAATGGATATAAAGTCAAATGTAAATTATTTAATTCAACAACTAATCATTGTGAATTATTATCAGAAGGAAAATGTTTAACATGTAAAGATAATTATTATACTTCATCATATCAATGTTTAGAATGTGATTATAAATGTAAAAAATGTACATCTAGACAAGATTATTGTTATGAATGTAATGATGGATTTTTTATAGAGAATGACCATTGTGTATCATCAAAAGATTATATAGCAAATTGTAAAAGATTTATTGGTTCTGTATGTATAAAATGTAATGATGGATATTTTATTCAATCATCAAAATGTATTCCTTGTTCACCAAATTGTGATATTTGTTATCAAGAAAATATATGTTCAACTTGTATAACAGACTTTTTTGTTAATGAAACATATCAATGTGAACGTCAAATAAATTTAAGTAATTGTGTTGGATATGGAGAACAAGGATGTATAGAATGTGAACAAGGGTATTATATTAATGGAAAAAGATGTTCTACTTGTAGTTCTAAAACTAATAAATGTTCAGAATGTGATATGAATTATGGGTATTGTATAGGATGTGAAAAAGATTTTATATTAATTGAAAAAGAATGTATTTATTTTGAAGAAATTAAACATTGTTTAGGATCAGAAGGATCTAAATGTACATCATGTGAATATTGGTTTCAACCTAATGAAAGTGGACAAAAATGTGATTTAGTTCCAGTGTGGTGGAATTTTGTAGTAGTAATAATTATTATAGACATAATAATTAAAATTTGTGTTATTATGGGAACGGCATTAATTCAATTAATAGTTAAAAGAATTTATCTTAGAAAAATGGAATATGAAGAAAATCATAATTATACTAAATTTCAAATAAAATATTCTAATATAAACTTTAAACATGTGTCAAAAAGTCATCTTGTTATGAATATAAATAAATTAACATTTGGTTGTGAAACACAACCGTTACCTGTTGAAACAGAATCAAGAGAATTATTTTGTATTGGAAATTTAACTAAAAAAACAATAAAAATATTTTTAAATGCAATTGAAAAGAAAGAAAAGTATGAATTTAAAATTAGTCCATCAGAAATTATACTAAAAAATGGAGAAGCATGTGAATTTGAAGCTATTTTAATACCACATTGTTCATGTACAGTTAATGATTATTTTCAAGTAAGTTCTTCATATTTAAATGGAGGTAATTCAAATAGTGAACGAATTGGAATTGAATTTGTTACAGAAATAAGTACTAAATTTGATCCTGATGAATTAATTGAAATAAAAAAGATAGGAGAAGGGTCATTTGGTATTGTCTATTTAGGAAAATTTAGAGGAAATAAAGTAGCAATTAAGAAAATGAAACAAATTAATTGTAAAACTGAAGAAGAACAAATAGAAGAATTTAGTTATGAAGTATCAATGTTAGATAAATTTAGAAGTGAATATATTATTCATTTTTATGGTGCTGTAATGATACCAGGAAAAATTTGTATGGTAACAGAATATGCAGAATATGGTTCATTAAATAATGTTATGAAAAATTATAAGAAAGAAAATAAAGAATTAAATTGTAAAATTAAATTAAAAATATTTTTAGATGCTGCTAAAGGAATTCAATACCTTCATCAAAATAGTATTTTACATAGGGATATTAAACCTGATAATATTTTAATATTATCTCTTGATAATGATATTTCTATTAATGCTAAATTAACCGATTTTGGTTCATCTAGAAACGTTAATTCATTACTTAAAAATATCACTTTTACTAAAGGTATTGGAACTCCTGCTTTTATGGCTCCTGAAATATTAAATAAAGATCATTATAATTTCCCAGCTGATATCTTTGCTTTTGCTATTACAATGTATCAACTATTAAGTTGGAATGACCCTTATCCAAATGACAAATTTAAATATCCTTGGAATATTGCTTCTTTCATAATGAATGGTGATAGATTACCAAAAGTTAGTTCTATAACAGACGAACAATTTTCTTTAATAGAAAATTGTTGGAAACAAAATCCAAAAGATCGATACACAATTAATGTTGTTGTTGAAACTTTAGAGCATCTTTGTCCTAAATAAAAGAACATCTAATTTATTTTTATGTACTGAAATTTATTTTTTTTTATTTTATTTTTTTTTTGAGAATTAATGAAAATAATTAAACTTCTTTTTATCATTTACATCAAAATAAAACAATACTTTTTTAACAATTAAAGAATGGATGTTCTAAAGCTTTTTCAGCTGACATTCTATCATCAGGATTATACATAAGAAGAGACCTTAATAATGAAGTTCCTTCTTTTCCAATTCGAGAGAAATGAGAATTAAAATCAATTGGAGGTGGTGCATCAGGGTCAGGTGTAAAATGACAATACTTATTAACTCCTGGCCAATTTCTTTCATTTGGAACACCTAATAAATCAAAGATTTGAACTATCTGTTCTTGTTCAGACTGTCCACAAAATAATGGTCTTTTAAGAATTAATTCACCAAAAATTGTTCCAACACTCCACATATCTACTGCTGAGGTATAAGATGGCATTTTTAATAAAATTTCTGGTGCTCTATACCATAAAGAAATAACTTCTGGTGTAAAATGTTTTGACTCAGAACGAAATACTCTTGAAAGACCAAAGTCTCCTAATTTAATAGTTCCATCATTATTCATAAAAACATTTCCAGGCTTAATATCTCTATGGTATGTTCTATGAGAATGACAATATGAGAGAGCTTTAATTAATTGTTGAAGAATAGTCTTAATAGTTGTTAAGGGAATATCTCCTTCATAATTCTTTATAAATTTTTGAAGGTCACTATCACAAAATTCAAATACAAGATAAAGACTCCTCCCATTGTTATAAATCTCTAATAAACTACCATCAATCAATTATTTCATTCTCTTATTCAAATAATTAATTAAGCAAACTTTACTATGTTTTCATGTTTTAAATCACTTAATGCTGATATTTCTCTTAATGAAGAACATGAAATACCTTCAGTTGTTACATCCATTTTTATTTTTTTAATAGCAACATATCGACTCAGTTTTTTATCCCACGCCTTCGACACAACCCCATACGTCCCTTCTCCTAAATTTTCAAGTCGTTTATATCGTTCATTAATCTCCTTCGACATCTATTTTTTACAAAGAGTTCTTGACGTGTGAATGAAATCAGAATGATTGTTCATTGTTTGGCAAACAGTTGGCATCAATTTTTTATTTAAATAATATAAATTCATTTCTTTTTAATAAAATGGTATATATAACAAAATTAATTCATATTTTATGTTTGTTTTATAAGAATAAAAAAATAGGTAGTATTTTAATATAACAAGATAACATGTTTTGTTTGTTTGTTTTTATTTCTTTTCTTTTTATTCATTTAGTGTTGTTGTGTATTTATTTTACAATTCAATTTTTAGTCTTTTTTTATTAATTATTGTTATTAATCTTAACTCCACTCTAATTTAAGAAAAAAAATAATCTTCAATACTTTACTTGATATTCAAGAATCAAACTTAATTATTTTTTCCATCTATCTTCGCTACGACTTTAAACCTTTTCTTCTTTTCTTTTTTGTCAACCCAACAAGACAATAAAAACATAATTCCACACCCTAACAGAATTATTAAGGGAATTAGAGTATACATAATTATTGAAAGTATGACATTAGGTTGTTCTTTTCTAAAAAAACACATTGTTCTATTTTCATTTACATACTTCCCATACTCAATCTCACATCTTTTACATTCACGTTTTCCAGGATATTTTTGAAAGGTTCCTTTTGGACATGGAAGACATGATTTCCCTGTTGTATTCTTATAATATCCAGGTTGGCAATCTTTACATCCACTCGCAGCAAGTTCCATTCCAGCTTGACATGTGAAACATCTACTTCTATCTGGATATGGGAAGAATCCATCTGGACAAACTTTACAACTTGTAGCACCAATAACATCTGAATATGTTCCTTCACTACACCTTTTACATACATATTCTCCTTCTTTGTCTTGATAATGTCCTTTATCACATAATTGACATTGAGCAGCATTTCTTACTGCTGAAGCAGAACCTACAGGACACTTAGAACAATTAAAACTTTCTATTAGTTGTTCATCACGATAAGTTCCTGGGTCACAAGGATAACACCCTCTAAAATAAGGTTCATCAATAAAATGAGTTCCAACTGGACAAAAAACACAATCAGTTTGTTTCTCATTTGGAGTATAACCAAATGGACATTTTGAACAAGACGTACTCTTTTCAGTTGAATAAGTACCTAATTGACATTCAACACATTCATTTTGTGATTGGAAATACCCAGCAGGACAAGCAACACATTGTTGATTTTTTAAAATCATTCCTGAGTCACACCCCTCACATTTTCTTGTTTCTGGATTAAACAGCTGACCACCTTGACACTTCTCACACAATTTTGATTCTGGGTTATATATTATTTCACAACCAAAATACTCAACAAATAATGTTGTCAAAGTAGTTCCATATCTCCATGGGGAATCTTTTGGAATATCTTTTAGTGTGACATTCATTATAAGAGAAGTTGATTCTTGATGTTGAAAGATAACATATTTCTTTGGTTCTAATGGAACAAAATTACCTATAATTACTTGAAAATTCATTAATTCATTAATAAGAGTGTTTGCAATAAGAATATCATTTCCTGATTCTTCAATTTTTGCAATAATATCAAGAGGACTATTTTGTAATGTTTTTATTGTAAGTTGTCCATCAAGTTCAATTGTACTTCGAGGAGAATTTATACCTTCTGATTGTTCAACACTAAGCACAGATATTTCACCATTTCCTTTAATTATAGAACCATCATAACAAGTAATTCCATAAAAATTAGTTACATTAGCATCACTAAGAATTAATGTATTATAATTTGTAATAAGAGAAGGACAATTTCCATTAATCTTAGTTATATTAAAGTTTTTTAATAAATTAATTGTTGGTAAATATTCATAAACACCATAATTGTTTAATTTAAAAATCTCAGAATCAATACAATTTCCTGAAAAACTTGTGGTTGTATTTAATTCATTCAGTCCCGTTGAAAACATTAATTCAGCACATTGTTTACCAACTACAATATTAACTTTAATATTAGTTGTTACTCTACTAACTATATTATCAACATAAATAACTTTGTTTGATGACACTATTACACAACTTTCAATAAGAATTAATGTAACAAGATGAATATCGCTTTGAGGGTCTAATGACTTTGATACACTTAATTGGTCAATATCTGTTTCTACATCTTCTTCTATACTTATTGAATTTACTATCATCTGTTTGGTTGAATGAAGTGATGATCCTGATTTTAGTATTAATGTTATTATATTTGTTTGTGAAGTCGAATCAATAAATGTTGTTCCATAATTTGTTAATGTGTCTGCTTCAATATCAAATAACTGAACTGTATTGTAACAATAAACATTTTTTAAAGAAGTTGATACTACTGTTGTTCCATTGAGTATTGATGGTATAGAAATACTATCAAAAGTCACTTTCATCGAGTCATCTGAAGAACCAAGAGTAAATGAACCAAATTTAAATGAACCAATAAAATGTATTGCATTTTTTGTTGTAATTGAATCAAAGGTGGAATATTGATATGGTGTTGCTGAAGTTAAACAAAGATTTGTTAATGTGGTTTCTTGAGAAATAATTAAATTCATGATTGTAGAGTCAAAAAAATCTCCTTTGACACACTCTAATTCCTTTATCGTAGATTGAATTACTTGTGCATATCTTGTTGTTAATACAGAAGAAACTGTGCTTGTTGTTACATATAATTCATCAATTGTATTTGATGAAAATTCCATTTTATTATTTGTGATACGTAGTGTGGATATTACTGATGTTGTAATAAACCCAGTAATCCCATTAAATGACAATTCATTTGCTCCAAGATTTGATGCACTTATCTCGACATGATGACATTGAATCTTAACAGTTTTATTGATACATTCAGCCTTCTCTATTATTGTATTTGTTGTCATAATAGCTTGTGGACATTCAACTGAATTAATGTACTTGACTGTTTCAATGAACAGTGCTATGTCTTTAATTACGATAGAACATCCATCAAACAACACAGAGTCTGAAAGGAAGGTAGCATTCTGATATAGATTAATTATAGAACCTAAAAACTCAGAACTTACTTGAAGATTACCACCATTCGTAAATTCAATGAAATTAACTCGAAGCTTTCCAAATCCGTCAATGTTGCCAAAATTTTGAGATCCTGTTGACGCTATAATAGTTCCAATTCCTTTTGTAATACTCAAAGTACCATAATTAATAAACAAGATGTTTAATGACACTGAATTGGTTGAAAAGGTTCCAGTCTCAAAATTGACAAGCTTATAAATAAAGGTAGCTAGACTTTCAATTGAACCATAATTTTCAATACATAGAGAGTTTGAATATGAGAATGAAATAAAAGAACCTTTTTTATTTATTAATTTATCGCTATTCATCAAATTCATTGAGATTTTCCCATCACAGAAAACTTCTTTTATACTACACTGTTCTAAATTACACATACCATATAAGTTAACTCTAATTTGCCAATCACACCCACTAACATTCGAATCAATTAGTTCAACAGTTGGGTTATTATTCATAAAAGTGATAGAAGAAAATACTGATCCAATAGCCTTAAGAGATTGTCCAAAACTCATATCAATTGTAGCTTCAGATAATGTCACATTATTGAGAATGGCTTTTGTAAGTATTAGAGTTGAAATAGCAAGAGAATTAGAATTAGCATTGACTGTTAATGTCCCTGATTTTTGTTTTAAAGAGGTTGCTGTTAGAGTGTTGGATAATTGAAGAATATCACCATTTAATTCAATACTCCCAGTAATAGACCCAATACTGAGAATGTCATTTTCTATAGTAACTGAAGTTGACAAACTTGAGTGGATATATTCTAATCTTTTTTTACCAATAAATGTAGAGGAAACAAATATCCCATGACCAACTATAACATCCTCATTAAATGTCAAAGTTGAACCATCAGTAGGACAGAAATACTCTGACAAAGATGAGAATGTAATAGTACTTCCAATTATTTTAGTAGAAGAAGTACATGAAAAGGATTTTTTGATAGTGCCAATAATCAAGGTTGTTCCAGAAATAGCTAGTTCAGAATCAATTGTTGCAATAATAGAACCAGATGTTATTGTTACTTGACCACCTTGAGTGTTAAGTGTTCCAGTTGGATTAGATAAGATGAGAGTGTCTGACTCTCCTAAGATGAAATTAACAAGACTCCCTTCTATTGTGTTTAAAATGACTGTTCCTTTAATTATCAATTTTTGAATTGAATCAAAAATGAAAGAATCAAGTATACTAGAAGTAAGAGATGAATCAACAGATGAAACAGTTGAATTAGATATTATCTTTGAATTGGAAATGTCAATACCATTAACCTTCTTAAAAAAAGAAACTAAATTGAGGTTTGTTCCTGTAACTTTTCCTTGAACAGTAATCATTGAAGATATTGTTCCACTCCCATTTAGAACAACATCTCCAATAATAGTTCCAGATCCTTTAATATTTGTTATTCCAAACGAAGTTGCAATTGTAGATGCTGTGGGGCTGGTAATAATGATTGAAGGAGAAACCAGAGATGATACTGAAATTGTACCATCTGTTGTTACTGACCCACTAGAAATAACATTAATATCACCAGTCATTTGACACCCAGAATTTATTGTTATTGAAGGAGAAGTTAATGTAGTTACTACAGTAGACTTGATTATGCCACTAATTGAAGCAGTTAGAGAAAGTAATGATACTGAATTAACTTGAATAGACAGGATTCCATTATTACTAATAGTATAACTTCCACCAGAACTAAAAGAGTCAACAAGTTCAAGAGTTACATTATTACAAGAAACCCCTCCAATAATTAAACTTGCCTGATTAGATGAAGTCAAAGAAACAATAGTTTCAACATTTGGACATATAATAGCATTATCATTAAGATTAGGAATGCCAATAGGACTCCAATTTGAGCTTGAATCAAATAAGTTACTATTAGCTCCTGTCCAAATATAAGATGTTGATAAAGCCAATGCAATAAATAAGAAGAAGAGCATGAAGAAATACAATAAGTCAATATATTAATAAGATTTCATGGTTCATTTTATCTATTCCATTGTTTCTTTCTATTTTAATTAATAAAAAAATAAGAAAGAATCAAACCAAAACCAGAGCAAAAACAGTTATCTATTCTAAAAATATATAAGACTTAATAAATTTAAAATTATAAAAACAATATTTTAAAAATTAAAGTAAAAAAAAAATAATTTAGTTCATCTTAATCTAAATTTGACACGAATATAATAAGCAATAGGATTAAGTAGATAATCTAAAATGCTTACAATAACGACTAAAGTAGCCAAAAGAGGCATGAGTCCCCATTTGTCCATGAATGGATATGGTCTAATATTAAACCTAAAGAAATCATAAAGAGCTAATGAAGCATAACCCAAGAAAGCAACCAATGGAACAAAACGAGAATATTTATAATTGTTATTGACTCTTTTATTTCCTTGACTGAAAACAAAACAGTCTACCAATAAAAATACTAATGGGAAGGAATGTTCAAAATGAGTTACAAAAAGTTGTTCCATTAATGAGGGTTGCCAGTCATCAGACACCCTAAAAACAGCACTTGGTGATTTGAAATATAAAATCCAAAACATAATACTAACACAAAGACACAAAACCAATGCTGTTTGTTGAGTTGAATCAACTAATACTTCCATAACTACATTTCTTTTTTTATTCTTCTTAGTACGTTCAACCTCAAAATTAAATAATAATAATGTCATTTGTTTACAGAAAGCGACAAAGAAATAAAAAGCACATCCCCAACAACTCCACATTGTCCAAAATCTACACATCCTACCAAAAGTATAGTCATGAGAAATCATATGTTCAGAAGTTATGACAACGATGAAAGTGACAACACAAATGTCATAAATCATACGATAGAATGCCTTCATTTTTGAGAGTTGTTTAATGGTATCAAGTTGTTTTATCATAGTGAATTGACAATATGATTTCTAAGTTCAGATTTATTCACTTACCTTTTCCTATTAGTTCCAGAAATGGAAATAACCTTTTTTTCTTTCTTCTATGAAAAATTGTCTTTCTTTTTTTGTTTTTAATCCTCAAAACTTTATTTCTCGCTTATTGAGAATTTATTCACTCCACAATTTTTATTCCTTTATATTTTTAGTCTTTTGTTTTAATGAATTGAAGGTGGTGTGCCAGAATCATTACACAAAATCCTAAAATATATTAAAGCTTCAAGTCTCCCAAGTTATAGTTTGGTTTTGACATTACCTTTAGTGAAAAATGCTTATCTAATACTGATTGGTTGTTTTGTTTATTAATATTTAATATAATGGTATTATTTATCAGCATACAAATATATTTGATAGTGAATAGTTTAAATTGAATATATATAGGTGTTATCAAGAAAAGAATGTTTGTTAATTTGTTGCTGATATTGAAGGAGATAAAATATATTCATAGTGTTATGGATATATTTATCATACAACAACAGTATAAAAGAATGAATTATTTTAATATTCATTCAATTCAAAATAAAAATCAAATAATAACTGCAATGAAGAAATAATTAAGTTGATGGATGATGTTTGAAAAGAATGTAATTTAATAGAAATAAAAGTTGTTGAAGTAACTGAACTACTCACTTTTTAACATGATAAAAAATACTAAATTATTAGGTAAATTATAATTGATTTCTTTATTTAAATACCTTCTGTTTTAATTGAAGAGAAGTAGTTTTTCATTACCCTCAACGTATAATCATTTATGAAATAATCAATAAATAAATATTCAGAAACAAAAAAAAAAGAATAGACGTGTTTTAATAAAGAAAATTTTAAGACTTGATAATAAGATTTCAATCAATTCATATGATAAACTTGGTCATTAGTCCATTGTTTTGCTTCACAAGAACATTTTAATTCTATATCTAAATGACGAGGATGAGAAGCGGCTGGCTTACAATGATATACACCTTTTACAATATCACCAGGAGCAGCATTATCAAAAGGAAGATCGAAATAAAAACAAGTTTGTTTCCAGTGAGTATTAGTATCAGGTTTAGTAGTAAGGTATGACTTCTTTAAGAAAGTACAATCGAAATACAAACAAATACCAGAAAGAGGAACATCTCTATTAATAACAAATTCAAAAGGAACCGTAAAGTCCATTTGATTAACAGACATATGTCTAAGATCAAAAGTAATTATTTTAACTGGAGTAGTACAAAGATATCTACTATCACAGTAATCAACTAATGGATCTACTGTAACATCAGAAAGAACACATGAAAAATCAAATCCATATACATTCGACCAAAACCTTTCTTTTTCTTGTAATAATTCTTCATCATTAATTCCTGCAATATAAATACTTGCTGTATCTGGAAGAATAATTCCATCATCTTTTAAATACTTATCACGTGCATAAATAACACTAGCTAACATAGACTCAAACATTAAATTATATCCCATCCATTCACTAACAATAATATCAACTTTTTCTGGAATATCAACTTCTTCCATTTTGCCTTGAATTAATGTAATAACATTTTCATATCCATTTAATTTAATAATTTCTGCTGCTTGTTTTCTTACTGAACTCATTTCAACTGCATAAACACGTTTTGCTCCATTACGTGCAGCAAACATAGAAAGAATACCAGTTCCACAACCAACATCTAATACTATTTTACCTTTAACAACTGAAGGTACTAATGCTCTTTTATATGATAATGTACGATGTCTATCTTTTAACATTTCATCATGAATTCCAGGATGTGAATAGCTTTCCCAATAATATTCACTATCAGCACCAGCAAGGATATCAGTTGGTTTGCATTCTTCCATTATAGGGTTACTTTTGATTCTTTTTTGTTTTATTTTTCAGTTTTATTTTTTTTATGAAAACATTCTATATTTTACTATTATATTTTTATTTGTTATAATTCTTATTAAATTAACAAAATACAATTTGTGTAAATAATGAATTATTAATCATCAGTTATTACTTGATTTTGTTGAGTTAATTCTTCTGTCATTTCTTCTTTTTCTGTTGACATTTCTCTGGGAATTTCTTGAGTTAGTTCTTCAGTATGTTCTAATGGTTGAGGTACTTGAAGAGAGTCTTCTTGTTTAGGTTCGTTTTGAAGTTCAACAAAGAGACTTTCTTGTTGTTCATGGTAATTAAATAAACAAGGAATTTTAATAACTTTAGTGTATAATAAGAATCCAATTACTAAAAGTATAAATCCAATTACTTGAACAATAGTACTCCATCCAACAGATTCTCCATATGATGAACTAATTACATAATGAATAAAAACTGAAACAATCCAGACAGAAATCATTCTCATTGGTTCTAAAATATTTCTTATCATTGCATTTGAATATCGAATAACTGCTGTACCAGCGAAATTAAAGAATAAAATAACAATGATATAAGCAATACATAAAGATAAAATTAAAGAAGAATTATAAATCATATAAAATGTATCTACAATATTTTCTCTAATAGATGCTGGTAAAAATGGCATAAAATAATAAAGAGTTAATACAATAATACAACACAAACATCCATAAAATCCTCTTAATCCAACAATAAAAGTTACTGGTGCTTTAATATCATGCAATAAAATTTCTTCTAAAATTGTTTGAAGTGCATGTAAAAATTGAGCAAGAATAATTAAAGAAATACCAATTAAAATATAATACCATTCTGAATGTTCTTTATTATCATTTGAATTAGAAGAATCATCATTTTGAGATGAACCATTTGGAATAAACATAGAACAACCTACAAGAATTAAAGCAATAATAATTAATCCTACACCAGTAAAATGAAATACATATTGTTTTTGTTTTCTCCAAAAAATTGCTAATAACATAGCAAAAATAATAGTACTTCCTCTCATCATTTGATATACACTTGATGGAATATACAATAATCCAAAATTCATCATATATGTTCCAAGGAAATCACAAATTGATGGTAAGAAAACAAATAAATATTGTTTAAATGTTAATCTTTTTGGTTGTTGTTCTTCTTCAATTTCACCAAATGTTTTTGGAGGTTCATTATTAGTTTCATTTGGAGCAAGACTTTGTTCTTCATTATCACTAAATATTTGTTTATTTCTTTTTTTATAACAATTTATACAAAATTTAATTAATTCTGTAAAGTAATAAATAATAAGTGCTAAAAACATTCCAAAGAACATTAAAAAATTAAAAAACATTGGACGTTCAAATAATTCAAAATTTCCTTCTTTATTTTTAGATTCAGCTGCATATGTTGTCTTTGAAATAATAGTACTTCCTGTTCCCATAATAAGAAATAGACATACAAAAAATATTAACAATAAAAGTCCTTTATATTGTTGAATATAACTAATAAGTTTCATATGTTAATAATTTTCAGTTCTTATTTCTTTTTCAAATATTTTTTATTACAACAGAAATACAACTATTGCTAAAACAAAATATCTTTCATCGTTTTTTTTTTTTTTGATTTTTTTTTCCTATGAAAAACTCCAATATAAAAAATACATGACGAATTTTTCGTGGTTATAAATAATTTTATGCAAACATATAATCTAAATTTATATTTTTAGCTATTTCAGACATCAAATTCACTCTCTTTGTATTTCCTAATTATATCATTTAATTCTAATGGTTTTGGATTTTTATGTTTATTTTTTTTCATAAAATGGGTTAGATTGCACATGAAAAGAGTTAAATTTTACTAATATATAGAAAAAAGAAAGAGTTTTATTAAGAATCACAAATAAAAGAATAAAGAAAGTAAAGAAATTAAAAATTTTTTTCTATTTATTGAAAAAATGGATTATCTTTAATTTCAAAAAGAGTTATTGGATGTTACCGATAAATAATTATACTGAAATAAAACATTGTGAACATATTACAAGTGTTTCTTTTAGTGAAAAAAGAGGTATTCCATTAAGAATTGGATATTCAATATTTTCTAATTTTGTAACTAATTGTTTCGAGGTTATAGAGTTTTCTAACCTCACAAATAGTTTTAATACATTAACTAATTCATTTGTTGTAAATAAAATTCTTCCATGTTCACAAGTTCTATTCCTTGAAAATAATACACCAAGAGATTGTTTTGTTGTATGTGGAGAATGTATTGGATTATATGCTATTGAAGAAAATAAAGACCCAATTCAATCAAATAAAATAGTTGATCTTTATATGTTTAGAGGTAGTGATGAATTATTTCCTGCTGTAAGTATTGACCAAATGAGGAATGAAAAAACTAGACTAGTTTCTTGTCATTTAGATGATTCAGTTTCCCTTTGGTCAATTCATAATGAAGGAGTATTTATTATAAGAAGTCTTAAAGTTCAAGACTTAACATGTTTATCATGTTCAATGACAGATCCTAATTTATATTTTATGAGTACAAAAAGTGGAGTCATTCAAGGTGATTGGAGAGATGGAAAAAATACTATGATTATTAAAGATGAATATCAATATATATCAACCAACAGTATTGACTCTAATAAAATGTGTTGTGCTAAAGGAAATTCTATTCACATTTTTGACTTAAGGAAAACAGATAAACCAATAAGAGATGTTAATATAGAAAATCAAATTCAAAGTATTCAATGGAAAAGTGAAAGTCTTTTTGTTATTACTTCCAAAGGGGTAATACTAATGAAAGAACAAGAAAATAAAAATATTGAAAAAAAAATTCCATTAGAAGGTTCTATTGGGATTGACCAATCTATTGTTTACCCGTCATGGATTTCAATCTTTACAGAGAATAAATTAGTTCTGTATAATCTAAATCAATTATAGTAGTAAGTGGAATGAAGTAATTAATTAAAAAGGTTATATTTAATTTACTTTTCTTCTATTTTATGTAAAGTGCTAATTGGATGATTAAATTAATCAATTAAATAATGTAGTGAATAAAGAATAATATTTGTTAATAAGTTGTTAGTAAGAAAAAAAAAATATAAAATAAAAAGGAAATGAAATAAAGCGTTAGAACAATATATAAACTCTTCAATTTATTTTTAGAACATTAATATTAAATTATCAATAAAATCATTTATTCTTTTATTTTTAAATAAACACTTAACGCTTCTTTAATTGTTCTGCTTTTTTCTTATCAATTTCAACCAGTTGTTTTGTTTTAAAATTTTCAAACATTTGAGTTTCAACAAACTCTTTAAGAAATGGTTGAATATCTTTTTTTTGACTTTGAACAAATTCATTTTTCATAAATAAACTAATAGCATTACAATCACTTCCATGTGATGAAATGCAATAATCTTCAAATTCTTGAAACATTAAACGAATTTCTACTTGAATTTTTTGCATTGCCCATTCAATAATTTGAGAATGAATGAGAATACAGTTTGACGTAGAATGGGCAGGATATCTTTTTAATGGTTTTAATATTTCTTTAATATCATTAATAGTACGTTCATTAATTGGGAATGGAATTACTTTCTCACCAAAACATTGAAGTGTTTTAGAATCTATATTATATAAATATGAATTTTCTGGTAGTTCAGATGGAACTTTATAACATCCAACTAGTAGAGGAGTAGGAGAATCCATTAAATCAACTAATTTATTTGTTAATACACTGATAATAGGAAATTCATATTTAAATGGTTTAATAACTTCAATAAGGAATGATATTGCATTACTTACTAAACACCTATGTTCACTTTTGATAAATACCTTTCTTTCCAACAATACTGCTGATATCAATGTTAAAAGATTACTTAATGAAACTACTCTAAAGAATAAACAACGAGAAAGAGTAACATCTTTATCAATTAAAGGATCAGCTTTCCATGACACTTTTATTTGTTTAGAGAAACTAGAAGGAAGAAGAAAATATGAATGAAGATAGTCTTCAAAAACATCACAAGGTGGATGTTGTTCAAAAGTTATTTGATTGGAATAATCAAGATCTAATAATGATTCTAAGAATGTTATTTGAAGACTAAATCGATTACAAAGAGATAATAATACATAAATAACTTCATCTTCATAATAAACTAATGGATTTGTTTCATCTCTTTGTATTCGAAGTTTAGAAAAACAAAAAGCGTATCGAGTTAGTCCAATAATTTGACTAGCAAAGAAGAATGTAAAGAAATGAGATACATGTTGATGGGACCTTTTGCATTGATGCATTATCTTTTCTACTTCTTCAACTGATTTTGCTTCTTTACGTGTATGAAGTACACCTTCTGGAAAACAATAATCAACTAAAATATCATATGTAAAATCATTTAACTGAGTTGAAGGGTATTGATATAATACTGTTGGTGTATCGTCAATACTATTACTTCCTATAATAAGAAATTGATCAGCTAATTGTTGTTGAGGAGGTAATTCTCCAAGTTTTAATTGAGAAAACATATTTCTTCTTTTTCTTTCTTCTTCAAAGTCGATTGGTTTATAACGTTTTGAGTAAATCTTTAGTTTTGTACTTTTCATTTATCTCTACCCAATCTTTCTTATTTTTTAAGTTTTTAGATTGGTTTTACTCTTTTTTCTTTTTTTCTTTGAAATGTATAACATTTTTTTTTTAAATTGAATGACTCTTTTTTATGTGTTATTCAACTTAATTATCATCCTTCAAACGACAATCAAATTCTATTTATATAACAGAGGGTTATGAAAAGAAAAGACAGCCAATTAATTAAGAAAGTAAATTACAGAAATAACTACACAGAATCAAATGGATTAAATAATAAGGTTCTACATATTGTTAATTGTTTAAATAAATGATGGTATTGAATAGAACTTTCATTTAACATTAAATTATCTTTACAATAATGAGATAATGAAAAGAGATGATATTCCCCATTAGACTCTAATTCATTAAAGTGTTGAATGAGGATTATGTCATTATCATCAAATGAACTTCTATTATCAATCAAATCATACTCATCAATAGTAACACTCTCATAACTTGTTTCATTCTCTTCTTCCTCTTCTAACTCTTCTTCAGTTACATCTTCACTTACTGATTTATCGCTCATTTCATCATATTGTTCAGCACAGTTATCTTTTTCTTCTTCTAACTCTTCTTCAGCATTAGTAAAGGTAAGTATAAATGCAACAACTAATGACATAATAATCTTTTTTAAGTCTATCATAGGTTATGACTAGGAGAATGAACTTCTAAGTTTTTCAATAGTCAAAACTTTATTAAACGAACAAAGGGTTTTTATCCTGACTTTAAAGTCTCACTTTGTATTTTTGATAAAAAAACTTCCCTTTTCCTTTTTTGGTGAGTCAAAATTACTTTGATTTGAAATTGACTTTTTCATTTTGTTTTTATTATCCTTGTTATTCTTTAATAACAAAATTTTTTATATAAAACATTTTTTTTTAAAATCATAAAATGCAATTATTATGAAACATGGAAAAAATAAAAAAAGATCTTAATACTAAAAAATCATAATTTTAAAGATGGAAAAGATATTGTTTTTATTGTCTTTTATCCTTATTGCTTATGCTCAAACCAACATCACACAAACAAATGGAACAATGAACAATCAAACTTTACTTGTATGTTTATTTTTCTTAATTTAGTAAAACAGATATGATTAAGAATGAAGAGTAATAACTATTCGTTTTGACATAATCATATTATCAATACTGAGTTCTTTTTATAATCTTGATTCAAACAAAAAATTAATGAATTAGGGAAGATATGATATAAAAGAAATCATGATCGGTGGTAAGAAAATTAAAACTACTAACCCAAAAAAAGTTCCTTTGTGGACTCGTTTACAAAAGTATGAGAATGAAACTAAAATTAATCAAACACAACTAAATGAAGCTGAACTTTTGAATAAAAAGAAAAAAGCAGAAATTACTAAACTTGTGGATGAACAGTTAGAAAAAAATAAAAAGTACTTAGGTGAGATTGAACAATTTAAAGTAGCACATGCAGTTTTTGCTCATTCAAACAATTCTACAAATCAAACTAATACTACTTTATCAGCACCAAAACTTGATGACATCCAATTAAATAATTCTACAATTGATTTTGAAATTCCAAGAAGATACCGAAATGCTAAATGTAAACCAATAGTAAAGAAAATTTATAAAAAGAAACAACCTAAACAAAGAAAGGTAGTAGAAGTTGACGTATTAGAAGAAAAAGTTAAACAAAAAAAAGCTGAAAGATTAATTAAAATTGCTGATGCTTTCATCCAAAATACTAATGATGACGAATATCAACTTTCAAATGATGATATGGAATTTTTGAACAGTTTAGACATAAATTAAACTTGATTTTATTTTTTGTTTTTCTACTCCATCCTTTCAATTATTTAACAAAAATAAAAAAAATATATGTTATTGAATTTATCTTGAGGTTTAGACTCTTCAACTCATTCAGTTGAAAATATCTGAAACTAGAAAAAAAGATATATTAATAAAAATATAGTAAAAAGTATAAAACTAAAATCCTGAGTATTAATGAAAAAAACTTCAAGAAGGGTTGAGTTTTTTTTACCTTTTCATTTGAAGTGAAAACATCAAAGCATTAGATAAAAAGGTCAAAAGAAAGAACTTTAAAATCTTATTATTGATGCAAACCGAGAATTGTCCCATTTATTGTTGTTGTAGAGAAGTCTTAAGAACATTAGAAGAAAGAAAAAAGAGGTCAAGTAAAAGAAATTTATGTCAACGAAGAAGACATATTAAAGCATTATGTTTTTATTATTTGAATCAAAAAGGATATTCGTTAGAATTCAAAAAGACAAGTATTACTCGGCCAAATGAATTTAAAATACTTGTAATCAAAAACCAAAATGGTGAAATTATTTTCAATAGAAAAAATATTAAAGAACAAGCTATAATTAATGGACTTACTGGTTATGAAAGAAAAAAGTTCATTGAATTTAATACAATACGTAAGTTAGTTAGAGAATTAGAACTTCAAGGTATGTTTATTACTTTCCAGTCACTAAGAAGTTCTACTGACATTGCTCAATTAACACTAAATGACAATATAGAACAACAAGTGCAAACAACTGGAAAAGAATATTTTTGTAAAATCAATGAATTGATTGAAGATGACTTATGTATAATTCCACCTTATTACCTTTAATGAAAACATAATTATTTGTTTATTATAAAACCTAAGACTTTTAACTAAATACGTACTAATATTCAATTGTTTTTATTACATTTTGTTTTAGATTAATCAGAACTTATAACTTCTATGTCTTCAGAATTTTCACATTGACTACCTGTATCATTTATGTATCTGATTACTCTACCATTTGTATCTATTTCTACATTTACACAATCTTTTGGAGCTTCTTTTATGATTTTCATAAGAGAATGATCAATAATTAATGAGCAAAAATAACACTTTTTTTCACATAATGGACAATTCCAATAATTATTTTTTAAACAATACTCAATGAATCCAATTGCATTAACCACAGTTGAATGTTTACATAACACCCCTTTTACAGGAATTGTTATAGGACAAAAGCTCAATGGACAACGAAGACTGATAATATTTGTTCCGACAATAATATCATCTTTTTCATCATCTTCTTGTTCTTTTATCTTTTCATTTAAAACATAGTTTTCATTATCCAAATCAATAACTTCAACTTCTTTTTCTATAGAACTAACTCTTGGTGCTTTCTTTTTACATATCATTTCATAAATCACTTTTGCTTCATTACGGTTATTTCCTTCAAGAACTTCTCTTAATAATTGAGGAACTTCTCTATAAGAACATAAACATGCTACAATAACAACTTCTGGAGAATATTTATTAACCATAATAGATACCATGTTTTTTGTTGCAAAACATTGTGTAGTAATATCAAGTGGTTTTCTAACAATAGCTGGTTCAGAATGTGGCTGACCATATAATGGCTCATAAAATCCATCTAAATTAATAAAGGTAGAATTAACACTTGTTTGAATAAAATAAATTTCATTACATTCTTTATTTCTCTTTAAGTCAAATAAACGAAGAATAATCCTTTTATTGTTTATTTGTGAAGAAGGTGTTGTTATTGTGAATCGAGATGTAGTAAATGATGGATTGAATACAGAACAATATATTATTTCATTAATCATGTATTGTGGATGTTGTGTTTCAAAAAATTCAAGGGGAAGTTGTGATAGTGAAAATTGAACTTGTTGAGTATTTTGAATTTTATATAAAGAAGACACCATTATATTAATATTAGAACCATTTTTATTAATGGTTTGTTGATTTGAATTATTTAAACCATTAGAATATTCATGGGATGTATCAATTCTTTTTGGTATCTTATCAGCTTGTTCATCCAGATGATCAGGGATTTTTAACATTTGTTCCATAAGAAAAGTCCTTTCTTTTAAATAATGACCAAAGTCAGTTTGAGTAATAGTATTATTTGGTAATTTCTCATGTTTAGTACTAAACTGACACTGTTTTATATCAATGTATGACCCAACTGGATGGTGAATAAGATAAGAGAAGTATTTAATATATCCTTCTTTATTTATTCCTGTTTTCTTCTTTTCAAACCCAAATCCAGGAAATAACTCATTAAAAAGAAGTCCCATTTCTTCAATGTCTTTAATTTTCATTTGTTTAATTTTCTTTTCAAAGAAATATTCTGCATTTCGTTGAGTAAGGCCATACGGTTGAAGTTCTGATTGAATTTCATTTAACCTATCAATCACGTTAGTCATATAAAGAATCTCTCTCAAATTTTTTCTTTCTTTTTTTTAAGATTTTTCTTTTTATTATTTTTTGACTTTTGGGAGTAATTAAAGATGATAGTTTTATCTTTATTTTTTTCAAGTACAAAATAACGTAATTTTATTTTATTTTGAACAAAGAACAACATCAAAACAAAAACCTTTTGGAATCATTTGTTGGAAGTGTTTTATTCTTATAAAACAGTTTGAAGTGAGTAAAATTTATAAACAAAAAGAAGTTACAATATAAAAATTTATAAAAAACCTAAAAAGAGAAAAAAACTTAAAAAAATCTCAAAATGAAAAAGAAATGAGTAAAAAAGAAAAAACCCATCATCAAAAGCAGAAATCAAAAGATAAAAAAGGAGGTTTCATGAGTTTCTTTAAGAAGAAGAAAGATGAAGAAGAACTTATCATTTCTGATCCAACAGACTTTGAACAAATCACTCATGTTGAACTTGGTGATTCTGGTCTCACTGGATTTCCTCCAGAATGGAGAGAAAAACTTATTAAAGCTGGTTTGACTGAGGCTGAAATTAATACAAATGAAGATAGTGCAAAGTTAGTTGCTGCTTCTGGAATTTCAAATGATAATGGAAATAGAACAACGTTTACTAATGGGAAAGAAGAAGAAGACGATATTACTCAATACACAACTGCAGCTGATCCTGATGAAAATTATGAAAATTTAGCTAAAACAATTTATGGAGATGAAGATGAATATATGGCTACAAGAAAATCTGATGGAATGGAAGTTTCATTAAGAAGAATGAGAATTACTAAGAAAACTAAACGTGCTGTAGTAAGAGAAGTTGTTGTATTATCAAAATGTGTTAATGACAATATTGTTAAATATGTTGAATGTTATTTAATTAATGACATGCTTTGGTTAGTTACTGAATTAATGGATGCAGGAGAATTAACAAATGCAATTGATCTTCATCCAACTTTACCAATGAAAGAATGTCATATTGCATATGTATGTAAAAGAGTACTACAAGGGTTAGTTTATCTTCATAAAATGGGGATTATTCATAGAGATATTAAGTCAGATAATATTCTTCTCCATCATAAAGGTACAGTTAAATTATCTAATTTTGGATTTGCAGCTATTCTTACTTCAGCTCATCCTAATCGTAATTCAATTGTAGGAACTCCTTTTTGGATGGCTCCTGAATTGATTAAATCACAAAATTATGATACAAAGGTTGATATTTGGTCATTAGGAATTACTTGCAGAGAAATGGCTGATGGTACTCCACCTTATATGGACTTTCCACCAATGAAAGCCTTATTCCAAATTACAACAAAAGGAATACCTCCTTTAGAAGGTATTTGGGATGATAAATTTAAAAATTTCTTAAATAAATGTCTTAATCCTGATGCATCAAAAAGGGCAAGTGCAGAAGAACTGTTACAAGACCCATTTATTTCTATGGAATGTACTGAAGAAGAATTTATTGATTTCTTAACTCAAGTTAGAAAGATAAGCGATGAAGAAATGGCACAAGAAGACGATGAAATACCAGCAGAAGAATAAAATTGACACATTATCTATCTTCCATATTCATCTTATTTTCAATTAATTTCCTCCTTTTTTTTTTATTACAAAACTAACTTATTATTATCAATTATATTTTGAATGAGTCGAAGTAAATGGTATATTTTGTTAACTGAAGAAATTCTTTTGCCTATTTGTTGCAAATGCAACTCAAAGATATCACAAGAATTAAAAGATGAAATTAATCCAATTATTTCTCAATTTGTTCTTGAACATTCATCAGATGAAAATCCAATTGAAATTGGATTAAATGTAAAAACAATATTTTCTCTAGGTACTTTAGAAATTGAAATAAAAGAAAATGATAATATTGAATTACTTGAAATGCCAAATTTCAAAAAAACGAATTTTTATGTTTTTGTTAAAGTAATTATTAAAGAACCAAATTCTATTGAACATGAACCATTTATCAAATCATTTAATGAATTAATTGATAAAATTGATCAGTCTCAACAATCTAAAAGTATTTATTTTAATTAAAGAACTTGAAATTCAATCTTTGGTTTATTAATGTCTTCAATTAAATTGTTTTTTCATAGATTGTTGAAATTATATTATTTAATCATGTTTCTTGGATGGAGTTATGCTTTATATAAATGTATTGTAACAATTAAAATTAATGGATTTGACTCTTTTTCTTTATTCCTTAATACGTTTGAGTTATATTTGTTTTTGTTATCATTTTCTTTAGTTGGAGTTTGTCCTTTTTATTTAATCTTTCAAATGTAAGTGTAAGAAAGTGTAATTAATTAATATAGTTGGTAATTCTATTTTTCAGAGGACAAATAGAAAGAATAATTGGTGTCATTCATTTCACAACACTTCTTCTTATAACCTTTTCTATTTGTCAATACCCAGAAACTATTAAAAATGTATTTCTTCTTGAACTATCACTCCCAATAGTAATGATTCCTTTGTATTTTAATGATTGCTTTAAACTTCTATCACCTTCATCTATTCTTAACATCTTTATTATCACATTCCCTGTGGCTATTCTTGGAGAATTTGTTTATTTATCTACATCCTTCTTAATTGTAGATTTTCCTTTTGCTTTCTATTTGATAATCAACATTCTATTATTACTTTTAGGACAACCAATTATCCTTATGGTTGTTATTGCACCTGTGATAAAGACAAAAACCAATTTTGATGAATCAGCTGATATTCATGATGTAACCAAAGATGATTAAAATTTGATTGTTTTTTTTTGTAATACATCCCAAAAACCTAAAAAATAAAAGAAAAACTGGTAAAAACAAGAAATAAATAAAATAAAATATAAAAAATTAGGAGAATATAATAAAAGAATAATAAAAAATGAAGAAAAGAAGAACTCTGATTGGGGTGATACCCTAGTACTGGAAAATCAGTCAGTATCTTTGTGAGAAAAGGGATGAAATTCAATTGCAAAGTTAGCTCAAATCCAAGCAAAGCTAGAAAAGCTCTTTACACTGCTAATGCTTCCCAAAGAGCTCTCATGATGAGTGCTAGACTCTCTAAAGAGCTCAGAGAAAAATATAATGTTATTGCCATCCCAATTCACAAGGACGACGAGGTTAAAATCATTAAGGGACATCAAAAAGTTGCTGGAAAAGTTACTGCTGTTAGAAGAAGTAAATACGTTATCAACATTGATAAATTAACTAAGACTAAAGCTAATGGACAAACTGTTCCAATTGCTATTAGACCATCTAATGTTATTATTACTAAATTATTCTTGAACAAGGATCGTGAAGCACTTCTTGCTAAGAAGGCTGAAAGTAGAAAATCATATAAGGAACTCGTTGCTAAGAGAAATGAAGAAGTAGCTAAAGCCTTTACTGCTGTTTATCCAGCCCTTAATATGGACATCTTCGGAAAGAAAGTTGAACCAATCACTGAAAAGAAACCAATTAGAATTCCATCAAAGAAAATGGCTGAAAAACTTATGTCTAAACCAACCCTTAGAGCTTACAAAACTGGAATTAAGGTTCATAAAGCCAAGAATGCTATTGCTGCCTACAAAGCTGCTCTTGCTAAGAAAATCGCTAAATAAGCAACTTCTATGGTACTGTTGAAAAGAATTAATGGGTTACTTTTATTGTCATTTTATTTATTTTAATTTTATAATAACTAAAATATAAATAAAAATTAATCAATTTTGTTGACGTGGTTCAATAATTAGTGATTTGTCGTAAAGTTCCTTTTCACCCATTGTCAAACATCTAATCTCAATCTTCCTAATAAAAGCAAGTATTTCAGGATTACGGTAATATTCATAATATCTTTTATAAAATAACATATCTTCAATCACCTTTGTTGTTAATGAACATTTTACAAAATTAACATCACCATTTTCATTTTTATCTTCATTACCTTCATGAATAAAAGTTAAATCCTGAAGATAGACTCCAAAAAATGGAATACAAGGGAATGATTGATGTGATTTAATATCAGCACGGTATGCCTGATAACTTCCTGTTGGAATAGTTACTCTCTCTAGTGCTTTCATCTTTTTTGAAAAATTACCAACTTCTTCCCAGGTCAATTTTAATCTACCAACAGGAGTTGAGTTCAATCCAGAAAACATTTCGAAAACTCCGTTGTAATTATTTAATCGAAGCATCTCCTCTCCGATAGAAATGAATTTTTTGATAATTGTTGCACGTTGTTTTATATTTGACTCATCAACAATAGTAGAGATAACCCAATTTGTAATTGAATTAAAATGGTCTATCAATGCACAAAGATTTGGACTTCGTTCAGTTTTATCGCTTTTAGTCCAAGCATTTCCCAACATTTCTTTTGCTTCAATAGATTTAAATAATTCATATTCATATAAAGTTAGTTGTTGTGCAAATTGTTCAGTTGGTAAAGTAGAAATAGTATATTCTTGTTGAACATTAACTATATCAAGTTTTTCTTCAATAGTTAATTTTTGAGAAGCACTTTGAATCATCATTTGTTTATTTAGTGCAGTTTTCTTCAACAATGTATCATTTTCATTTTGTTTAATAAATTGATCTAAAAGAGGTAATAACGCCTCTTTACCACCATCCATAAAATCATGAGGAAATGAAGACATCCATTTAGATAGCATAAAAAGAATTTTAAGAATAGTTTTATGTTGTACATCTTTAATTTGTTTATTATTTGATTCATTTTTATTTTCATTGTATAACCCAATTAATTTATTAAAAAATTCTGTTGGAGAAAGGTATTGTCTATAAGTAATAAGTAATGTTTCTATAAATTTGATATTATTATCAATATTTGGATTAACTGCCCATCTTATTAATGCTTCAATAGATCCAGAAACAACTTCTCCTTTATCGTCAGTTTCAATACCTTTAGAATCTGTTTGAAGACTAACTTTAATAAAAGCAGAACGTTTTTGATTTGAAATTTTTTCTTTTTCTCTTTTTAGACTTTCACTAAGAACACTAACTTTTTCATTAAAACATTCTACATCTTCTTTATAAGTTGACATTTGTGCTGATTTAATCATAGCGTATAATTCATAATAAGCTTTTCTAATTCTCATTTTTATAGTAAGGATTTCCATTTGAACATTATAAGTATCTCCGATTTTATAAACAAAATCAGGAATTGTTTGTCTTTTGCTATAAGGAAGAACAAAAGGAGGATTTATTTTTTCATTTACTGTATGAATTGTTTCTTCTAATTTATATAAAATTTCTTTTAATCCATTTAATTCATTTGAATTTTCTCCTGGATCTCCAAATGAATAACAATTAATAAACATTTCTTTAGGATATTGATCAAGAATTTGTTGCATTAATTCTTTTTGTTGTTGTGTATATGTTGGTTTAAAATGGAGTTGGTTTGTTTTACATAATTTCTTTAATGAATTATCTAAATTCACTTCATACAATTGAACAGCTTGGAGTTTTTGTTCAATAGGAGAACCACTTGGTAATTCACAAAATAATCCTTTATTTATCTTGTCATCTTTTTTTATAACTTCTTTAACTTCTTCTATTGGAGTGGATGTTTCTGTTATTTGTGTTGATGAATATAATGAAGAAATTTGCTTTTTGGGTGATGAGATTTGTTGTAATGGAGTCCCTGGAAGAGAGTTATATGATTTATTTTGATCAACCCTTCTTCCAATTAATACTGAACGTTGTTTTGAGGAACTTGTCATATGAATTTGTTCTGATGACATTGTTTCTTGTAAATAAAACTAAAAATTTTTATTTTTTAGTTTTCGTCAATTTTTAATCTCTTTGAAAGAAGATACTTTTTTCTTTTTTGATATTGAAATTCTAAATAATAAGAAAATAGTTTTGTATGGGGTTTTCTTTAATTTTTTTCTTAATTTTTCTTTACAATCCACCTTTAATCTTTTAATAATGTAAAACTCGAATAACCAAATTGTCAAGCCTTGGCTCATTCAAAAAAACTAAGTCATATATTTTATTTATATGGGTTGTCTATTATTAATTTTATTTGACATTGATTTAAAAATTTTTAAAATTTTTTTTCTAATGAAAGTATATTTCAGTTTTTCCTTAAAAATAGAAACATTAATTTATTCTAATAAAATTAAATAAACTTGATGTAGTATTTTATACAAAGAAATACTGTCTGAGGTTGTGATAGAATCAATTTACAAATACTGACTCACTACTGAATAAACCAAAGAAATATATAATTCAAAGAATAACATAATATAAATTTATTGTAAAATGAAAGTACATAATGTTGTGATATGAAACGAGAATATTATGAAAATAAAAATAAAACAACTAAGTTGTTATTATATAAATAATTATAAAAATTGTTCAAATACTGTGTTTGATATAGAAATTATGTAAATCTTAGGTAATAATCATAGACAAAATTAATTGTCTAATTTTTGTTTGTGTAGATACTTCTTTTAATCTATTCAAAACTAAAAGAATGTTATAAAATCTTATTTTGAAAGAAAATAATATAAGGATTAGTTATTATATATTATTTGGTTCATAAAGTTTATATTCCATTCTCCGTATTAAATCATCTTTTTTTCATAACAATAGGTTATTTAGATATTCAGAATAGAATCTTTTTCATGAATTTATGAAATTGTAAAAAAGAAGAAAAAAAAAACAATGTAATATTCAACCAATTTTTTTATAACATTGATTTATTCAATTCACAAATTTCTATATAAACAAATATCTCTTTTTTATATTTGTGATTTGTTCAGAACTTTTATCTAAAAAAGATGTAGTCATTAAAAACAAATAATTAAATTATTATCCTTTCTTACAGAAGAATGTTTGTTTTATTATATTTTATTGCTTTATTCTCTTTATTTCTTAAGAAATTTAGTAAACCATTTATCATTCTTGTATCAACTATTTGGTTATTACTACTTCGTTAGTATTCTTTAAAACTAAGAACCATTAATACTCTCAAATTAAGTGTTATACACTAAATAAACAAAGACAATTAATCAGAAAAAGAATAGTTTATTTTTCTATTGCTTTATTATATTTTAAATGAAATTTAGAGTTTATAAAAACTAAATATAATTATAAAGTGCCACGTTGATGAACTATTTAAGACAAATTTTAGAGTAAGAAAAATATTTTCTTTAAAGATGGCAAGTGTTGAGTCAATGTTAAAAGTATTTGATTCAATCAAAATGACTACTCCTAAAGGAAAGGTTGTTATTAAAACTGATGAACAAATTGATCAATTTATTGAACAATTAAATCTTGATTATGATGGTGTAGATTTGTATATGTTAGGGTATCTTGGTGGATGTAAAAAATATGGTCGTTTCTATAGAAATGAACTTGAAAAAGTTGTAAAATTATTAAACCCAAAAAAGCCATTGTCACAAGAATTAAATAACCGATTTAATGCATTAGAAGGAGAGTCATATGTTAAATTTCTTGGGGTTGTTTATGATTGGGTTGATATAATGTTGAAAGAACTTCAATCACATCAACCAACTGGTGAAAAAGTTAATTTAAAAATTTCTGGATTTGTTCCTATTGAAGGAAGAACTGAAATGGTAGATATTTTGCAACCATTGTTATCTGCAATCATTCAGCCTAAATATAAAAACGATGTATTTGAACAATTTATTTATTTTGTCATTAACTATAAGAAAAGAAGACTTATGAGAAAGGATGAAATTCAATTCCTTATTGATTTTTTAATAAAATATCCAAATATGAAAGCTGTAAAAAATTCAGATGATGATACTTGTTATTTCCCAATTCTTTATGATGAATTTATTGAATATGTTCAAAATAGTCAAAAATAATTTAATGAATTTTTAACGGAAGATTTTATTGTTTTTTTAATCAATAGATTTATATCATTTCCTTTGTTTCTTCTTTTTACTTTGTTCTTTTTTATTGTTTTTGTTTATTTGCATTTTTAAGAAAATAATAATACTTAGTTAATTGCTTTATTATTAAATGTTAATAAAATTTTCATCTATTCTTCTAGCACAGCAGAGACTACTCCCATTTCTGAACATTTTTTTAACTAAAAGAGTAATCTCTCTGTTTAACCTATCATTTAGATTTTTATAGGAGTATAAATAAAGTATTTCTTTGTTTTATTTCTTTTTATTAATGTCTTCTCAAACTTCTTCTGATTATTTTTTCTTTTTAATTTCTTGGTTAATTTCTGATTTAAATTTAAACAATATCAGTTTTTTTTCTTTTTATTTTAAGACAGAGAGAAGAGAGCATTTCATTACCACTATTTTATTATGACTAATTTTCTTTTAGTGTTAAACACACTTTAACAAATCCTTTTCTTTGAATAATACTTCCATATATATATTTATAATTTCTTTATTAATAAAAACCAAGTCTTATAATTACAACATGTAATATTCCATCATAATAAATTACTAAATTCTTGACAGCATTATCTATTCTATTATCTTTTTTTTATTCAAATACATTACCATAACAATATAATATTTGATTGTTTATTGTTTAAATTCATATTAAGGTTTGTGTGTAGTATTTTAGATGTGCCACCTTCGCTATTATTTTCATTTTTAAGAAATCAACCATTAAACAAAAATAATTTTATTTCTTTAACAACACTAGATATATTTTAACATTTCATAGAATATCTTTTATTGTATTTAATAATTGTCTTGTTATTGATTATTCATTGAACAAAAACATCCTACATCCTAGTCTAATAAGTTAATTTCATAATTAGATTCTATTAACTCTAATGAAATCTAAACAAAAGGCAGCCTAAATTAATATCAATAAACTTTGTTTATTTCTTTTTTTTTGATTAATTCATTGAAGTAGTTAATCATTGAATAGTTTCATCTTATTGAAGAAAAAAATTAAGTGATAACATAAACATCCATAACGATAATAAACTGTACATATGAACAACAACTTCATTTATATTAACCACCTTCTCTATAACTCAGATACATATTTTCACTGACTAAGAAATTTTATTTAAATGTTGTATTAATGATATATGCTTATTAAATATCTCTTCTGAAAAAAAAATAAGAAAAATATTTAGTATAAAAGAAAAATTTTCAACCTATTCTATTTCTCTTTGAAACCAATACTTTAGTCTTGTATAGTTAGGTGGAGTCAAAGTATATTAAAAATTATTAAATAAATACTTTAAAGCAAAACAATACATAAATATTAAATCATTAACTTTTTTATTTTTAATTATACAAAGACAAAAATGTTATTTCAAGTAATTATTAATTTCAAAACAATAAGAGTAAAAAGGATTTTTATTGTTTATTCTAACAATGATTTATTTTTATAGTCTATATTCTAATAATAACATATTAAATTTTAATTCTACATCAACTCAAATAAAAAAAGGAAATTGTTTTAATTAATAAAATAGTTAAATTAAATTTATAAAATTTATTATTCAAATAAACTCAAAAATAAGTCAACAACTGTCACTGAGGAACAAATGATAAAATTATTTATTATAATAATGATTATTAACACTTGTTATAGTGAAGAGACAAGTCCTCTTAGTTCAGAACATAAAGAAATAGAAGATATTGTACCAGAGCAATATGAATCATATAATCAAGATATCAAAACAAAACATTTTATTATGTTTTATCATCCTTATTGTGAATGGTGTAAGGAAATGAGAACATTATTAATTCAGTTATCAGAAGAACTTCCTAATGTAAAGTTTCATCAAATAAATTGTGTTACTTATAAACAATTTTGTCAAAGCCATAGAGTTAATAGTTATCCAAAAATGTACATTATTCATGGATTCTTTAATAGCCAGTGCTTTGATAGAAAATACGAATTAATAAAAAAGTTTATCATTAATTTTAAGTAAAATTGTGTAAAACTCATTTATTATCAACGGTTTACAGTTATAATTCTTAATACTCTCTTTAAAATAAAATATAACTCCTTTTGTTTATTAACTTCTTTTTATAAAGAAATCTTTAATAAAAAGTATTATTGAATAAAAATTATTTTATTACACATTTCATCATAACTTTTTTTAAAGTACAAATCTTAATGAAAGACAAATTAAAAAAGAGAAATATCCTAAACTTCTGTTTGAGTGTTATTAATGATAGTAAGAAAGTATCAATTTAATTATCTTCTTTACCAGCATGGTTATTCTTTCTCTTTCTTCTTCCATTAATTTCTGGATTAGTTAATGGTGTATTATCAGCTAATTGAATGAGTGGTTCAGATTCAACTCTAACAAGGAAGGATGGAACATCAACAACTTGTTTACCAACTTTAATCATTTTTCCTCTAATAAGAACTCTAGCATGATGAATGGATTTAGCAAATCCTTTTCTGTAAACAAGAGTTTGAAGTCTTCTTTCAAGAAGATTTTCTTCTTTAAGGGCAAGAACAAATTCCAACTTGTTTTGGTCTCTTGGAAGAATACCAAGGTTGTGAAGTCTTCTAAGAAGAGCTGCACCTTCAAGAAGTCTCTTTGGGTCTTTAGCGTCTTTCATTAACATAACTTTAGCAATAGTTCTCATATGTCCAAGCATATAGTGAACACGTTGAATTTCCTTTTTATTTTTCAATCCAAATTGACCAACAAGTTTAAGTTCGGCATCAAATCTTTCTCTTTCGTATGGTACCTTTGGTGTTTTGTAAGTGATACTGTGGTTTCTCAAACAACGTCCCATGCTTCACTTTGCCCTTAAAGTTCTTTTCAAAATTTTTTTAAGTTCGAAAAAGGGTTTTATAGTTTCTTATTAATAATTTTACTATTTATCTTTACTTTTTTTATTCCTCTTTTTCCAGATTTTATCTTCAATTTATTGAAACCCATTTTAGGGTATATCTTAAAAGAAGAATATACCAATCATTTTAAATATGATGTGGCATTTTTTTAATCAACTTCATTCAATTAAAACAACACTTAGTTTGCTTTCTTTTATAATATTAATACATTCACTATTCATTTTAAATGATTATTTTTTAGTAATTTAATTTTTAAGAAGTTAATAAACTATTATATTTATTTTAATTTAAACTTATCTTTAAAACATAAAATAATTAACAAAATTTCCTTCTTTTTTTTTGAAAAACAAATCAATAAAGGTAGTAAGTATTAATTCTTTTTCTTATTGTCTTTTTGAATATATCTTCCATAATCGTAAATCATAAAGGCAATATCTGAAATTGAAACAAAACTAGCAATTTCTGAAATACAAAGAATTATAAATAAAATACATGCATCAAATTGTTGTGTGATATCCTAATTGTTTAATATTATAATTAATAATATACAGAGTATATAAAAACAAACTAAAATACTAAAAGCAAATAAAATCATAATTTCACCTCCAATAATAAATTTCAATGAGTTTACAAAATGATATTTCAATAAATAAAGATGTGAAAAAAGTAAGTAAAGTACAATGGGTATTAAAATATGAAGTGATAACCAATTTCTTATTAAAAAGAAATAAACTATCCAAACAAATGTAACTAATGAAAGTTTCCAGTTTAATGTAATAGTATGACGATATACAAGTGCAACAAATAAAATAAAAATACAGATCGTATGGAATGAGTAATAAGCAGAACTATCACTTGGATATACAAATATTGAGGCACAACAACCAAAGAAGCTTGATATTACACTAAGTCCAATATAAACACTTGCCGCAAATACTCGTTTGTAATATTTGCTATCTTTTAGATAAAATAAACTAACAATAATTAACACAAAGAATTCTGCTATACAAACACAAAACCATGAAAAAGAACTAAATATCATAATGTATTGTAACATCCCTTCTGGAAATGTTACATTGTCAAATGAAAAATTTTGAACATATTCAAATTGTTCTATTAACATTGAAAGTCCACTCTTTCCCTCCATTTCTATTTTCTTAAAATCTTATTTTTAAGTTCTACTATTTTTTTTCTATTATATAGTATTTTATGGTTTCTAGTTTAAAATAAAAAATCATTATTTCAAATTTGAAGCATTTCAATTTCTAATAAAAATTATAAAATAATACGTTTACTAAGAGTATTTCACATATTAATGAAATTTAGATATTTCTTGTGTAAGTTGGATATTTCTTGAAAAAAAGGTTTTTTGTTGGGATAACTATAAAATAAAACAATATTCAATTCATTTATTTCATGAGTTAAGCCAGCTCAAAATTATTTTGTTTTAAATTAAATAATATTTAATTTGTTATTTAAGAGTATTTTGTATTTATTGTTTCTATTCATTATTCATTCTTTTTTTTTTATTATTTCATTCATTTATTTTTCTTCTTCATTGTTAATTACTATTTCTTTTATTTCTATTTTATTTGTTTAGAATATATACGTCAATTACATTTCTGAATATTACATTTTATCTTGATATATATGTTTGTATATTCTCTTCTTTTTCCTATTTATGTTTCATGACTTATTGATATTATTATTTTTCTTTTTTACACATTTACACTTTGCTTGTTTTATGTTTTGTTTGTTTCTAAATATATTATTATTCAAATAATTATACATTTATTTATTTATTTATTCTTTATTTCTTTCTATATGTTGTTTTACATTGTTCTATTATCTATATAATGTATTTATATTATTTCTTATTTTTCTCATTTCATATTTGTAAATGTCTTTATTTTGTAAATTGATTGAATTAAATACATTTTATTTCATTACCATTTTATATTTATTTGTTAATTTAGAAAATGTAAGAAATGAAATTTCATGTACCATTGTATATTATTTATAGATTTTAATATTCATTCTTTATTTTTTGGTTTTAATATTCATTTTCTATAATTTATTGAATTTCATTATTTGAGATTTTTACTCTTTTTTTTATTTTTCTATTATACTATTTTTCTGTCACACCTTCATTCTATTTATTCATTTATCATCTTTTTATTTTATTCTTTATTTCTTTCTCTTTCAAATATTATGATTAATTGTTATTTTATTTCATAATTCATGTATTTCATTTTGTCATTTTCTATTGTTTCTTTCATTCTTTCGTCTATTCCTTTTATATTCTATATGTGGTAATTAATGAAATGAGATGTATTTCTCATATTGTTAATAATCTATTTCATAATTATTTATCATTTAAATATAATAGTTGTTAATTTTGTTATTTCTTTGTAATTTCATTTTCAATTATGAATTTTCAGTTATATATTCAATTTATTTATTGAATTGAAAATATGGTATGTCATTTGATTTATCTTATTTATGACATTATTTGTATCTTTGTACATTTAATTGATATTTTATTCTTTCTATTTTCTTATTTTCATTCTTACTTTATTATATCTTCTTTTATAATTTCTTCTTTTTATTTATTTTCATTGTTTTCTCATATTTTCATTCATAAATATTTATATTTATTTTCATTTGTAATCAATTGGTATTTAATCATTATATTTCATTATATTTATGTTTCTTTTTTTTTCTTTTAGTTAATTGAAACTAAGACTCAATTTCAGCAGAAAATGTTATTAAAATTTCAAATATTAAACATTTAATTAAGTATTGATAGAATTTCTTTATGATATCCCTGTAACAGATGAAACAAGTTCAATACATTTGTCATTTTTAGTAACTCTACAAATATGTTTAAATATAATAAATTCAATGTTTTAATTGTATTATTCATGTTTTTAATGTTAATAGTTTTAACTTCTTTAATACTGTCATTCACTATTCTTTATTTAATCCAATTTTTTCTGTATTTATTGTTCATTTATTTCAATTTATTATTCTATTTTTTACATTTTTATATATATTCTTTTTTTTATTTTATTCTTTATTTCTTTATTCATAATTTTATTGTTCATTTATTTCGATTGTTAATGTGTTATGAAACAATAAGAATATCCTTTATTAGAATAGTTTTAATCTTTTTATTTCTTATTTATATTTTATCTTTGTATTTTCTTGTATTAAATTTGTATTGTGTCAATGAATATTTCCAGTTATTTGTTTTCATTATACTTAAATTTAATTCATTTATTGTTATTATGACACTATCATAACTTC